AACTTAAGTGAAAATACTTGTATGTCTAGTATGTAATGTAAGCTTAGAGAAAAGGTCTTTAAACTCTTTGGTGTCTGGTAAATTGTGAAACTACTATAAAATTCAAAAGAAAAAGATTGTAAATGTAAACTATGTTTTAATTATATATTTTAAACTGATAATCAGAATATTTTAATCATAATCAAAAGATGAATATTGAATTAATTATTTGCTTATAAAGTTTATCTATTTAAAATATATGTTTATAAGGTTATTAAGCATAAATATAAATATAAAAATTAAACATAAAATTATTAAATATCATTAAAGTTTTCTAAAAACTAAAAATTATTCTTATTGCATCATATTTTTGAATCGGAGACTATAATATATAATATACTACAATTTATCATCAAAAGTACATAATTTTTTTGGAAAATCCTTTTAACGTACGTAAACTACAATTAAATTAACTTACAAATGTTTAAATCATTTATTCGAGAGTATTTGATATTTGTATTACTAGTAATAATTTTAAAATTACAAAAATGCTCTCTTCATTATACAAATATTGGTAAATAGAAAGTATAGTTAAATGGAATAAACCTTTAATTTAAATATCATGTTATAAATAAATAGTATAATTACTATTCTGATTACATTAATTAGTTTTTTTTTCTTTAAATCTTTAAGAAATATTTTTTTTTTCCCAATACAATTATAAATAATTAATAACATTCTTAATATTATTATTAAATTGAACATAATTAAATTTAAAAAAGTAAATATAATAAGATTATAAGTAACTTTAGATTTTTCAGATTAAGTTGTATCTACTTAATCATTTATATTTAATATCATCCGTATCCATTGAATAAAGGAAATTTGGATTTACCAATTAATTAATAACATAGTGTACAGTAAAAATGTATTACAAAACTGATAAATATATTTATAACGAATATTTATATATATATGTATATGCATGTGTGTGTGTGTGTGTGTGTGTGTGTGTGCGTGTATGGGCATATAGCACCAATGCAGTAAATACAAATATTAAAATTTATAATAAAATATCTTCTTATACAGTCAATGCTTTCGAAGCTATTTATATTTTATTTTTAAGCAAATTCGATTTTAATATAAACTTAACTGTCGTCGATTTCAACGTTAAATATGAATGGAAATTATATTTTAATTCCGGTTAAAAAATTGTTCAATCTAATAATATTTCAGAAAGTATATAACGTAGTATAACGTATGTACTTTTTAATTTATTTTTAAATAATATCACACAGATGTATTAATGAAAATGGAAAATAAAAATAATAAATTTAATTTTAATAAGCGAATGGCTGATAGCCGGTGGCAAAACTCAGTACAAACACAACGCGTAACGATATATTTAATATTAAAGGCGAAGTACAGAGAGCACGATAATGATAAATGGGGTGAATGGAAATATTGGGAATGTTGTAATTGTGTCGGTAATTGGCAAAAAATAAAATAAAAGAAATATATAATAAAATAACTTTATTTAATTTTCCAGAAAAACGGTTACTGAAAAATGGTTGGCCTTGACGTGCAGGATAACACGTTAAGGTCTTGCAATGTGAATAAAAATGAACAGATACATAAAGAAGGAAGTTGAAAAGAGATTGGAATTAATTAATGGAAAAGATAAAATGAGATAAAGTCACGGCTAATTTAACGCATATTAGAGTTAAAAGGCTGTTTCAAACTTAAATAGCAATGAGAAAACGTAACGCTTGAAATTTTAATTCTTGAAATTTTAATGCTTCTTAAGTACTATGCATAAATTATAATCTAAACATGAATATATCGAAGAGATTAGCAATCTGATATGTAAGTCTGATAATAATCACACTTGTCGCGCTGGTGGTACTAGCGAGTAGTTAAAGTTGGAAACAACCGATTCGACAAGCAAACATTTGGAATTTCTGATATTATGACTAAATGGGCCAAAAATATGGCCAAACATGGTCTATATCATTCTAATTTAATTGGCATACAGTGTATCAATGTGAGGAGATATCAAATTTTCTGAATACAAATTGCCTTCTATTCTGATGTTACATGAAAACTATCGGAAAATTCTACTACTTTGAAATTGCAAATAAATGTAGAAGAGTAGTAGAGAAACAGTAATGTAAGGTAAAAACATACGGAGTTCATATTGTGTTATATGATATACGTAAATAAATTTATAGAATAAAAAATTCGCATACGAATACACATGTAACCTAATCGTTTTCACATTATTAATTTGTAATCATCCAACGTCATTGAATCTGTGAAATCTTTAAAAATTTAGTAATGATTTTGAATTATCTTCAAATGATCTTGATAAATATAGATAAGTTACGTGATAAATTAAATCTAAAATTGTGAGTCATTCTTTCGAAGTATAATAATATATATATTGAAGTATCGAAATTATTACTATATTGATATATTTTTCTAGGAACAATTAAAAAGTACGTCGAGTAAATTATTACGTAGAATAAAAAAAGTTTTTATTAACATTTATATTAAACTATATATAGTTGATATTTCTAATTGATATTATACTAATTTCATTTAGCATTTTCAAAGATATTTCTAAACAGTTTGCAATTATTAATGGAGTAGTTTTATTCATAACAAATAAATTAAAATAATAAACTGTACATTCATAATACGAATGTTACTTTAATTAGATTATTTCTAACTAAATATTTAACGTAACAAATCATTTTTAATATTTATTCGTATATTATTTTTAATATTGAAAATAATCATTATTTCCTTTTTTATACGTTTTTCCCCATGTTTACATATAAATAAAAAGACTTTTGATTAACTGTTGTTAATGTTATTATTTAAGCTATGCTGCCAATGTTAAAGTGCGTTTTGTTTTATAATTCATTGCATAATTAAGTGAGAGAATCTGCAATAACACATTCCTTTTAGCATGTTTTCACTTGGTCCAAAGAAAACTATTTCTCATTTGAAGGACTAAGTTTGAATGTAACTCTTTTGAATGAAGAATAAACTTTCCACGCGAAGAAATTCGAATAAAATTTTCGCATTCTTTGAATAGAATTCTGATCTGTCTATCTATTTCGGCCTGCAGAGGCACTTTAAATTCTTCTCAACTTGGCTTTTCTATATCTTTTGCGCATGCTCGGTTAAGGGGGTCGCGTTATATATTGGAAATAAATTTGAAGGAGATAAAGAACGTTTGATTTTTAAGTTGCGGAAAATGAAAACGTGGTAGGACTTGCTATGATGTGAAGTTGCGTTTCGAATTTATAATTCTATCAGAATTATATATATAGAATATCTGTCATAACGTAATTTTTGTAAATGTTATGTTATTATTTCTGCAGTTGAGATTATAATTAATAAATATTATTACATTCCTATAACTAGAACAATTATTTTATTGTTAAAAACTGCTGTGAAAACGACAAAATTTCAATAAATATATAAATTTTATATGAAAATATATACACAAATGTTATGAAAAAACTTGCAATAAAATTATTTTAATAATTATAAAATGATGTTATGAAAGATTATAATTGGATGAGGTAGTAAGTTAATGATAAATTTTTTTATGTTTTTAATTCTTTTAGAGTAATAATTAATTATACAAGAAATTGAATATATGATGATAATACTTCCAAATTTCAAACATTTACTATAAATTTTTTTTAATTTTATAAACTTTTACTAAATTTTCTACTAAAAACTATATTTATAATTCAATTAATATTTTAATAATAAGTCAGTTTCAAGAATTTTAATAAAAAATTACCAGTAAATATTATTATATTTATATAACAATTATTTAAAATTTAAAATTTTAAATTTATTTAAATCAATATATTGGATAGCCATTATTTGTTTTATTAATTTATACTTGATATCGCGATTAATTAAAAAATTCATAAAAAATATCGAAACTTTTACTAAATTGATAATTATTCACTGATTCTGTGTTTCATACAAAATAAATAAATTTTTTATAAAAATAGTATATTTTTTTTTAATTGAGCATGAAAGCGAAAGGATACTATGACTATATATTTAGTCTAAGTTTTCAATGAATGTGTGAAAACCGGGAAGGTAAGTACATTGACATTACAAATATATAGAGAATGAAAAACTACTTGTTTAAGCCGTAAACATGTTATTCAAAAGACAAAGATGGAAGCGAGCAGAATAGGTCTTCTTTTTTCTAGCTGAATATATGGTAGTGGTAACCATTTATAGACGACAGAAGAAAAACATTATTTAAACAAACTCTCTATATTTCAATTATAGAAAATAATAAAGCTATACATATTCCCATCATAACTATAAAAGTAGATGAAAAATAGAACAAAATAAATGAACAGAATTTTTTGTTAATCAAAACTAATATTCAATTTAATCTTATTTCAAATACGCCTTGAATCAACTTTAACAATACACATTTGACAAATGTATTAACTCAATATATTCACTGTTGAAGTGAAATTATAAAAACGATTTTATTAATTATTATCATTGTATTTCATAAAATTTTAACTTACAACCATTATTATCTATAATGTATTTAAAACATAAATCATTGTAATGTGATATTATATAAGTCAGTAAGTAACAATAGAAAAATTAAGAATATTGGGATAATTAAATTTTTAATTTATTTTTATTTCTCAAGTATTGACAAGAGAGTTATATTTTTCAATACATCATTTTTATCGACGTATTTTTTATTTCATGCTTCAATATGAAACAATTTTGAGAAATAAAATGTTTTTAATTATATTTTGAAAGTTTATTTAAAATTGACGAAACATTTGAAAAACAATGATTTTTAATATTTTATAATTTAAAATTTAAATAATTGTGCTTGCTCCAAATTTAGAATAAATGTTCCATTCTTTAATTTAATTTAATACACAATTCTTGATGGATAACTATACTCTCTCAAGAGAAAGGCACGATCGACAATTTTATCAATCTACAATCAAACATAAGCTGGCTTGAGTTGAAGTGGAGGCACATGATCGACTGACTGTCTATAAAAGCACTGGACGCAAACGATTCAACTACATAAGTGCAAAGAGTATCTTAGCCTCGTGTGCCAGAGAAATTTTGATAAAAGTGCTTTTAGTGCTTAAAAAATTATAACCAATAAAAGGCCGGTGAATGAAGTTTCCGGTGAGTCGAGAAAAAATTAATTTCATTATACATATACGCTTGTTTGAATTATCGTGAGAGCGCGAAATTTGGAAGAATTTCATGTGCATTCAGAATGCAGGATGTAGTTATTCATTCTTCAGTTCTTAGTATTTCAAGAAAATTCTTAGTTATTACATTACTTGCCCTTATGTGAACGATAATGCAGATTTATATAGTTTCCCCCCCCCCACGTAATTATCGATACATTTTCTTAATATAATGAAAATTCACATGTGATCAACAAAATTATTTTAAAATTAATTCATACATTTAACATACATATAAAATAGACTCATGCTATTTAAGATTAAGAAGCACAATCTAAATATTTTATAATAATTTTATTAGAATATTTGAATATTTGAAACAAGTATCGATATTCATTTTAAAATGCACTGAATTTAAGAGAATCATGATTTTTAATCAATTGAGTGAAAATAAGAAAATTTTTACAAGAACTACTTGTCATTTTAACATCAATTCGATACTATTAATTATACGAGGATAATTGTAATTAATGAAACGATTTTTTTCTTATATTCAAATTTAGAATTTCTACTGTACAATACTATATAATAAGCTATCTATTATGAACTTTTTTTTCAAATTCAGAATCTAAATATTAAATTATGTAGATACAATGCAAAATTCATTAAATTTTGAGATTCTGTGGAAAATATGTGCATATATATGACTTCAGGTGATCCTCATTGCAGCCGCAATGGCCGTTGGCGCCTCGCGGCCGCCACAAATGTTAAATCCGCGATATTACGATTCATCACCTTATGTTGAAACACCTCCATCATCTATACGATCGTCCTTACGTAGTCCTTCGTACTTAAGCCACGAGCCTTTTCTGAGAAATTCTGAGTCTATAAGTATCAAAGATGATATCCCAAGCGATGGCCCACCTTATGACTATCGGGAGGAACGGAACTTCTTTGACTTCCCACCACCCGCGTCCTCGTACTTATCATCCCATAAACCGCCTTCATTTTATCAAGATAGATTATCGAGTTTCCGAGAGGACAAATTCAACGCTCAAGATTACAAAGGTTATTTTCTTTCTTAGTTTCTCACAATTAAGACGTATAGAGAGCATTATCCTTAAAAATTGAAATGAAATTTATTTTTTCAAATATGAGTTACCAGTAGTAAATGGTTTATTATTGCTTTTAAATGTACGCACGATCATTTCTACAGATGCTATGTCAATTATATATTATTCATTTATAATAATTAAAGAACCAATTAATTTATTATTATCTCTAGGTACAAATAAGCTCTTTGAAATTATAAATAAATCAATCACTTTTAAAGCTTTATATAAATATAATCTATATGACTATCTTATGAATCTTAATGAATAAATTACTTATAAATCAGTAATAAAATTTAATTTCAAATTAGTTTTTTTTTTTTTTTTTTTTTTTTTTTTTTTTTAATATAATAATATCAATATATATGTATGCTTGTCCATAATTAAATTTAATTATATATAGTAATACATTATTATAATATTGAGTGAACTTTTCCTACACGATCGAATAACTTTTACGTATAATTAATTATTAGACTCGTAATGAATTTTGTTAAAGATATTAGCATCTTAAATTATATTAATGGTAATGTTATTACGATGTTACGATGTTATTAAAATGATCTAAATATAGATAAATTTTACAAAATTTAGATATTAGTATTATATTTTTTTTTAATAAATATTTGATTTCACATCTGTCTCCTTTACTAAGGTTGTATTAATTTTTTTCTTCAAATTAAAAGAATGTCTATGTATTATTATACAGATATAATTTATAATACAATATTTATTATTTTTCAAAATATTATAATTTTTATTAATTAAAATGAAAGAATAATGTATAAGTAGTATACGAGGACTGAATGTGAAATTCTAATCATACAAAAATTTAGTCACTACACTTAGTAGATGACTAACCATCGCGATTTACTCATTTAGTCCGACAGCAATTACTTGAAATATGACTAATTAATTATATTCTACTATTTACTTATATATTCAACACACTTGTATAACTCATTATGAAAAATACAGAAAATATTCATCTTGTGTACAATATTTATTTTTCAATTTAATCCAAAGTGCATATTGAAATTTGGAAGTTCACAAACAATTTTTACACTTCACCATGACATTTTTAAATATTATTTAAGTATATATTATAATATAGTTTATTTATTTTTACTATTGCTGTTAAAAACAGAATGCATTGATAAAGAAATTTATAAAATGCTCTAAGAACTTATTGGTACGTATAATATTTTTCGATTTTCATTTACTATTTATATAAAAATAATTAAATTTTTGGGTAAAGAGATTAAAAAAAATTTATATCGTAGTGTAAATCATATATTGTACAATATTAAATATTATAGTATGTATAAGATTTTATCACTACTATATCTTAATTTACCATATGATTTAAAAGTTTTTAACTAATTAAATTAGACTCTTAAATCATTGAAAAAATTAACTTTTGAATGCTGTACAATAGTAAATATTATAATATGCTTAATTAAATTACATTTTTTCCATATTATTATTAAATGATTGTAGTTATAAATATAAATTGTAATGTTATTAATATATTCAGATTATTGTATTCATTTTATTAAGCGATTGAATAATAATTTTGTATTTTTAGGTCCTCCACCGCCAGTACCTAAACAAGAAATTCTAAAACAAATGCACTATATGCAAAATGACCGATTAAACAATTCTTCTAAAATGCAGGTAATGAAATTTCAAAAGGAGCAGGCTAGTTCACAGTCCACAACGACAGAACATAATCAGCCACTCTTATCAAATCAACGTGCAAATATTAATCATGGTAAGTTACCGAGTCACTAATACACCATAAATCTGCGCATCTACAGAAAAAGGATAAAATATATATTATTATGAATGCATTAACATAATGTCAAGAACACTATATAATAAACGGTTTTATGAGTACAGGGATTTTATTTAACAATATTTTGAATAATTCAATTTACTGAAATTATAAGAATGAATAATGTTTTTAAACGATTTAGATAGTTTCTTTTTTATAACATTTAGAATATCATTTAATAACCATTTTGTTAATATTTATTCATTTAATGAACTATCAAATATAATGTATATTAAACACGTCACAAACTATATTAAAAATATATATATTATAAAAATGCATGTAAGCGAAAATTTTTATATTAATTAATATATTTGAAACATATGTGTGCAATATTGATCATCACTTTTCTTATCAATACAATGAACAATAACGCACCAAAAAAAAATTTTTTTTAAAGAAATTTCACTTCTTTTCTTAATTATTTAATTTCAACTGAAATAATTTAGATAGTTAATGAAATAAAGAATTTACTCAAAAAAATCTTGATAATTCTCTGGTCTTACAGTCAATAATTCAAAATAATAGCTGAATTATGTAAAAATACTGAATAAAATAATATTTCTTATTTTGATAATAATTTATAATGCAGTTATCCAATATTAAGATATACATATATAACAATAATTTTTGCATTTTATATTATGTTCTTTTAAATTCCTTCGAATAAGCCAATATATCAGCCTATTTCTTATAATTTATTTACATCCAATGTTCTTACGAATGAAGTGAAAAGAAGTTATTTTACTTTCTGACAATTATACAAATATAATTGTTTATTGTAACAATGTTATAACAATTTACCATGTTACATATTTTTTGAAAATAAACATTAGCATTGAAAATATTCTGGTTATTGTGTAAATTAATTTTATATTATTATTCCATAATTAACAAATAAAAATAAGAAATTTTCAGTATCGGAGATTAATTATTTTTTAAAGGAACTCGTGGGTTAGGTTTCGCTTCAGTCATTGGTGTTACCTCGTCGGATATTAATCCAGTGGCTCTGGCAGATAGCTCGTCTACGACAAAAGCAGCCACAGCAATGCACTCGACACTGTCATTGCATTCACCTTCAACGAATGAAGTTCACGTCTCACTGCAGGATCATGAGGAAAAGCATCATGCGGTAACGAATGCATTGAGTACAGAAATTTTAACGGCAGGTGCAGCATCCACGCCGTTGCCAAAGAATCCTATTGAGTCTCCATACACGCAGACATCGACAAATATAGGAGTGACAGTAAGTCTTGATTAAATCATGCAGCTATGTGAATGCCAAATGAAGGTTTTATGTAAAAATAAGGGTGACATCGGAATAATTTTTAGATACCAATAAATTTTAATCATTTGAGAACTAAAGTAGTGCAATTTTTTGCTTTATGCATGAATATTTTATTAAATTTATTTATTTGTTAGATAGTGTGATATAATTCTATACTAGTTATAGAGTTTTCATTTGAGCACAAGTATATATTAACACACATTTATGGTAAAAAAGATTTTATAAATGATTTATAAATTATATTTTTAAATAATTTATACACTAATTAACAGTCTACGTATTTTACATCTTATCTGTTATTATTAGAAGTAATAGAAAAAAAAAAACTTTTTTTTCATATTTAATTTGATAGAATTGCAAATTATTTTCTATGATCTCTTATATTAAATATTCTTGTTTGAATTATTATAATAATAATTAGAATAATAATAGCTAATATAATGAACAGCTTGTCAGTTTGAAATATTAAAAGTAATTTTTTACTTAATGTTTTATTAAATGATATATTTTTACAATATTTTATATCTCGTTAAATTATTTCAATTAATAAATATTATATTTAATATTTTAGTCAGTATTACTTAATATTATACTATTCTGAAATTAATGAGAAATGTAATAAAAATTGAATTTATTTTATTCGATTAGAGGGCATTTTATAATGCATATGTGTATGTGTAGCTAGTTAATTTATTGATTTATATTTTTGCATCTTTATATGTATATATTTAAGTTTGCGTAGTTGCTACAGACTAAATTATAATTCCATTTAATATTGAATAAGCTTAAGCGAGTGATCCATGAAATGACCGAAGATTGTAGCCATTATATAATAGAGCTACTGCTTACTGTATACTAAGAGTAAATTTATGGTTAACTATATTGATTTCCTTTAATGGCATTATATTAAGGGAACTAACAAATAATAATAAAAAAAAAAAAAAAAAAAAAAAAAAAAAAAAAAAAAAAAAAAAGTAATGGTAATTTTTATTTAGTTGAACGATATAGCATCGACGACTCCAGCAGCAATTACGAAAATGACATCACTAAAACCTGACTCGAATCTGGATCCTTTTCAAAATCCATCTAGTCAACCACTCGATAGTACTATGATCTTTCACGAACCTCCAAAAGTATCTTCTGATTTTAGGTAATAAATTTTTAAATAATCACTGTGTCGTTATTCCATAAACGAATAAAACGAAAAGTGATATGCTCAATTTTATTTCGTATTTTTCTAATACATATATTTATACTTCTAATATGCATAATTATATATATGAGACATTATATTGAATTTAAATTGAACAAGCTATATTATTTTTCAATAATATTTGCATCGCCTTTGTTTTTTTGAATGTCAATACATATGGTAGAAATCTAAGTATGACATTGCAAATATCAATTGCAAATAACAATTTTTATAGCAGATCTTTTTTATGAATGTATTTGTATTTATTTATATAATTAATCTATGTTATGAAATTCATATAAAATATTATGTAAAATTATCAGAAGTAAATATATGATATGTATCTGCATTTATGAAAAATCATATTTATAGAATGATAATATTTTTTATAAAACGTAGTTATCAAAAACGAAAAAAAAAATACAATTGCAAAGATTAATTTATATTCTATGAAAAATTCTGTCACCTTGACATTTAATATAAAATAAAAGTATAAAAATAAGTAAGACGATTAGTTACTAGAAATTTTCATTTTACTATAAAAATATCCTTAAAAATATTGCTTTCCAAATATACGTAATAATACATTAATATAATATGTATGATAAAATAACGTAATATTTTTAATTTATTTTTTGTTCATTTTGTGTACCTTTAGTAAATTTTTTCATCATAATATACATATCAAAAATGTATTTTAATTTCTATAAGTACAGCATTTTTTAAAGCTATGATTATAATTTGTATAGCAATATCATGAAATTTTATAATTTTTAATTAATAAACAGACTGAAGTTATAATATTGTTACGATAATTAACTAATAATAATTCGATTTTAGTATCGCCAATTTGCATAAGTATTTTTTAATTTCATTCATACGTTTTAAAATTTTAAATAGAACGTCATAAATATAAGTATCCCATTACAAAATAATATTGTTATCATATGATTAATGTATAGTAATCAGCATCATATAAGTAAGAGAGAAGCATAATACATTTTAATGTTAACAGGACAGCGTCGCAAGAATTCCCGATGGCAACCCACGAAAAACAATCAATCGAGTCTCCAAGACAAAATATACACGTACCTCATGTCAAACAAAATTTCTTTCTATCCGAGACAAAGAGTAATATTCCCTTTCAGCCATCTCATCTTCAGATTCACGAGAAACATCATAACAACGACTATGTCGCGCCGCTGAGATTTAGCATACCAACCGCTTCTACACCCACATCTCTGTCAATCTCTACCACACCCATGAAGCTCGTATATCAAAGTCTAGACTTCTCGCGCTCGGCAATTCCGCTCATAGCAGGTGAGACACCGAGGACGAATTACGAGCTTTCGCTCGAGTGATTCGTGAAATCGGTCAAGTCGCGACTAAAAGGTGATGATGAGTGGCGAAATTCAGGCAAATGTTGAGATTAAAGACCAAAGACGTATTACAATATACTTTACAGTATATATCATTTCAAGGCATTTTCTCCTTCATACTGACACATAAATGAAAACTATATTAAATTTCGATGAAAAAATTAGAATTTTAAAAAACTTTATACAAAAATACGATAATAATAATAATAATAATAATAATAATAATAATAATAATAATAATAATAATTTAAAAATTTTATATATTTTTCATTGATATGTTATGAATATGAAATTTTTTATCTGACAATTTAATACCGGTAATTGTCATAAAAAATTCAACGAAGGAATGTTATCTTCAATACGTGTTAATACTAAAATTGTTTAGAACATACTTTTCTGTTTATTCATAATCTACATATTAATTCAACTATCTATCTATCTAGCTTTTATTAAATAATACAAATTTTAAAATTGTATTCATCTATTTGATCATGATCGGATAATTTTTTATCAGTTATATAAATGATTCCTTTACACAAAGGAAATATATCAAAATGTTATTTAATCAAAAAATTCATTTATGTTGTTGGGTATATTGTATTTTTAGAATCAAATATAATTCTTAAAAGTATTTTTCACAAAAAGTACAATACTGAATATTGCTTAGGAACAATTTAATTATAAAAAAATAATCTTGTGGTAAAAAGTGAGTAAGATTAGAATATTATTTATATTATTTCATATAAATATTTCATTTACATATATTTTTTAATATTTTTATGCTATCTATTGTAGGTTCTCATTCGCAAGCTTATACTCCTCAGCAAAATCAAGTAGATGTAACGCAATTCGAAAAATTAAATTCCGCCAATAATTTAGGTAAATAATTATTACATAAAAAGTTCCATGTGACTGTAAGTTATGGTTTATACAATAATTATACAAAATATATTACGATTTCTCTCTAATTATATAATGTTTATAATATTGGTTTAATAGGTATTTTTATTATATGCTAATATTTTCTATGATTTTTTTTTTTTTTTTTTTTTTTTTTTTTTTTTTTGTTGTAGATTCGAATGCAAATACGTACGCTCCCCAACATAGTCAATTAGATTTAACAAACTTTGGAAAATTGAAGCCTGGAAATAATTTAGGTAGATAATTATTATACAATAAATGTGCCATCATCGTTAACTATACAGCCTATTGTATAATTATGAAGATAGAAAAAATATATTATTTCCCGTAAAATATATTCTAATTTTAAATTAATATTTAATTTGTAGGACCTAATTTATATACATTGATTCCCCAACAAAATCAAATAGATTTAATGAATTTTGAAAAATTAAACTCCATACAAAGTTTAGGTAATTAAATGTGTCGAAACGTCAATATAATTGTTTTCTATAATTAATGAATAATGAAATGTACTCTTTTTTAGGAAATAGAATGCCATCGTATTATCTTTTACAAAATAATGAACACCATAAACCATCAGCACATGCTCCTTCAGAAATTCCACTAGGTAAAACTTTCAACTATTAATAAAATATAATTTATAAGCACAATATGCTTTTACAAATTTGTCATGTTATGAATAATTTTTAGGATCGTTTGCATTCTTGCAAAGTAATGGATATCCGAAACAAAATACAGAATCTAATTTTGAAATTTCTTTAAGTGAGTATGACTTTGAAGCCTATGTATATATATATATATATATATATATATATATATATATTATTTAATATCAACATCTGTTTAAAATATATAGTTAATAAACTGAAATTATTTCCGTTTAAATATTGTATAATAAGATATTACTTATGTTATCAAAAATTTATAAACTATAATATTTTTATAATCCAAAAAAAGGATATTTAACAGAATTTGTACATTTTTTAATGTGTTTGACTTTCATATATATATATATATATATATATATATATATATATATTGGTTCCATTTTATCATATACGTTTTTAATTCATTCTATAACAAATTTGTATTGAATTAAGCTATGTATACGATACTGTTTGTCATGCTGATCCTTGTTTAATATAATTAATATAATTTAATAATATAATTGCAATTAACAGGTAATTTAGATGAAAAAGAATATCTACAATCACCAAGTAATTTTGCACCTTCAAGGTCAGCAATAATTGGACTTGAGAAACACAATCCAAGTCTATACGAACCATTTAGATTAACTGATTCTATGTTTGCTAATGTAAGTAAATATTTTAATTTTGCTATTATAATAAATGTTTTATATATCATTATATTACATATAGAATATGTAGTAAACTACATAAATTCATTTATATTGTATTATGAATGATAATTAATCATAACGACTATAAAAATTGATAATTGTAAAAATATAATACAAATGTAAATATGTCCTCGAGTCTGATATATTAAAATACTGATTATTTTCAGATTGAATTGGATCATAACTCATGGTAGCATATACATTATTCCGAAAGCTAAAAAGTAATATATTATTGTTTTTGGTTACAAAATAAATCATGTAACGAAGTATCAGAAGCGTACGAGTAGATAATGCATTCTATTAAATTCTTTAAAATGTAAATATGTAAAATCATTATTAGAAGATTCGCTACATATTGTGATAAATATCATTGTTTTTGTTTTTTTGTAGTGTGATATATTGTATTAATAATGTAAAACTGGTTAAAAATTCATATTTAATTTAGTTTACAATATTTTTTGTATTATTTGAACATTAACATTCAAATAATTGTTATGATAATTTTGTTATTAAAATGAATTATCGATGTTTTAGTTGTGAGCATTATTTTTAATTGCGTTACTCATCAATATTATAAATAATGACGAATCATTTTTCAAATATATAATATAGAATAATTGATATTTTTAAAATTTTAACTGTAATACAGTCATATTTAATATCAAGCTATGTGATGATTATATACGAGCTTGATCAATATTTCTTTGCCTTTGTTAATAATATTAATATTAGGAGTCGAATATACATTATATGTCTACCTAATATTTCGATTTGAAATATTCCTTTTTCGGTTTAAATTTCAAACTGTACATTTTGATATTAAAAACTCCTAACTAAAAATAATTAGAATTATCATTAATATCATTAGTTAAGAAGAATCATTAACCTTTCTTAGTTTACATAATTTTAAACAACGTTAACAAGATATATAGAAAAAAATTAAAGTAATTATTCGGAATAGAATATTATATCAATTCCGATCATTTTAGTATCAATAAATGACGTAAATTGAATGTCTTTAAGTGAATGGAGTTGTGAAAGTTTCAATGATATAATCTGATATTTAAATGGAAAATATACTAGTAAAAATCCATTATAATAGAATTTTATTGGCGATACAATTAAATTAATTGAAAAAACAAGTATTTTTAAGTTTGAAAATAATATTATGGAACTAAAATTTTAAACCGAGTTGTATAATAAGCTTGTTATAATTAATATTAAAATTAAAAATGATGATTTTATATTGCGAAATAAAGTTCTATTCTAAATTTGAATATTGTTTAAATATGAAATATTTGATAAAAGAATTGAATTCAGTAACTACTTAAAGTTTTACAATTATAATTATATATGTATATATGAATATATAATATTATGTTAATTAATATGATATTACTTAATTAAATAGATACAAATGTATCATAAAATAAAATATAAAACAAATGAATAATACACGACATTTAATGTTCCGATTATATATTCTCTGTCGAATTCACTTATTAACATATATATCACTTTTTTTAAACATGCATATCATAATGCGATTCTTTTTATATAAAATATAATTTTTACACGTAATCGTCACATATATAGCATAGTACAATATAACAAAAGTTAAATATTATTGTAAATTTTTATAATCAATAAAAATATAGTGTTTCATCTAACTGTTCAAAAGAACAGTAGTTAGCATAAAATATCAAGAACATAAAGTAGCAAGACAATGTTTATAATCGCTGGTAAAACCTATATTTTATATACCTTCATTTGAATTATTATATATTAGTTGAAGTTGAAATGTCATACAATAACGTTTAAACAAAGCAATAGGAAAATACGGCCTTTGGGTAAAATTAAATTAAATATTAGTGATGGATTAATATTTATTGTTTGTATATTAAAATAATACATATTATTGTCATCGCAGTTCAGTCAAATGTATTATTTCGTTTTTCATATTATTTCTCGAATTTATGGAAATATTATTTAAATTTTAAAGTCTTTTTCAATCATTATTCCAATATAATTCCATTATGAATATTTAGATGAAAGTAGTATAAAACCAATTAAGCCACCAATGAAAGTTTCTTAGAAATTTATTTGATTATGTGCTGTAATTCGGCCTTTTCTTATTATATTAATTTGATTATTCTAATATTCTTAAACTATAAAAATTGTAATGAATTGATATTATGGATAAATTAAAATCTTATAGAATGACATATAGAAAATATGATTATAAAATAAAAATATATATATTTAATAAGGATATTAGTATGAAATAATTTATACCAATTTATATAACAAATTATAAATTACAAATATAAGTTATAATTTTATAAATACAATTAGAGTATTTATTTGAATATATTGAAAATATAATAAAACAATGTAATGTCTGAAATATGTGTTCTATAAAATATATTAAAAAGCCAATACCATGTGATTAGTGGAGAAGCTCGAGTAAATGTGGAAAAAAAAAATACTAATTTGATTTTCGAAATATGTAGTTGTATATCAAAAATAAGAAAATGTATCGAAAATTAATAAAAATCAATAAATATACGATTAAATGAAAACTTAGGACCAAATTAGGAGCAAATAAAGAAAATTACAAAAACGCGAAAATACATTTGTAAAGGACAAAAAATTAGAATGGTAGCTTCTTATATCTGTGAAATAAAGTATCACAGTGTCCAATTGTTTAATCATGACCGGATGTGAACTGATTTATGCAATATCGACTATGAACAATGAATGTAAACCATTTTTCTGTGTAAAAAATTAGTTAAACAAATTGGTGTATATTTGTTACTCACTTGATTGTTGATTGGTTTTTCTGATCAATTAATCCACCATAGGTTATGTTGTTCCATTTCTGTGAATATTGCCATTGTGAAAATAAAACAGAATAATCTCTTTCTAATGTGCTGTTCTGATCAGCAGGCCAGAACACCATACTTCAAAAAGTCTAGCTCAAAATTCAAATGAATGAATATGCAAAAAATTGGAATATACTCTCGTTTATAGAGCGAAAGGGTATGCGAGGATGTAAGAAATCGCAGAAGTTTTATTACAAATTTATATATATTATATATTGTTATATATATATATATATAACAAAATTCATTTTTTACTTATAATTCATTAAAAAAAAAAACAACAAAAAATTTCAATCGAATCTTTACAAACATAATATAATCTTATTTTGGTACAATTATTAAAATGCCTATTATATGATTATTGAATAAAAACTATAAATTGTAAAAAATGAAATTATAAATTATCGCATGGAATTTATTATGCTATTATTTTCATAACCTGGATATAGAATTTTATAAGGAATATTAATAAAATAGATGAAATAATGAAAATAACAAAAAAATAGCAAAACAAATAAATACAAATAATTATCATTTTAAATGAAATGGCTTATTTATTATTAAATAATTAGATACTTATTAAAGAAGTATTTTGTATCATTTTAATAAATATTACTTTACAAATAAAAACACATTTTTTCAATATTTGAAATATTAATAAAAGAAGTTGATATATATATTACGACTTTATTTATGAATCGTTTTATTTCAAGTTCATAATAATATAATGAAAATTTCAAAGGAAATATTAACTTATTCTAGAATTTATTAATTTTAACAAATGTGTATATATGCGTATTTTTACACTTGTCGTTGAACAATATTTGCTTGTCCGTTATGCTGCCAATGACATTTCAAATCTTATCTCTACGGTTATAACATTCTGTAGCTTCCGTCCATATATTTTTAACGAATCCTTACTACATTATATATTTTGTTTATTTCAACTGTATTATTATACGTAGTTGCAAAATAAGAGAAATAATACACCTTACAAGCTATGCCCTGTATATACCAGTAGTAAAACAATAAATGAGAGGATGCGTAGTAAAATCAAAGCGCATACGCTTCGCCACTGCATTTATACAAGTTCATAAAGCTGTTTAATTTCATTCGATTTTTTTATCAACTATATACCATATGCTTATAATATCATTTCATTGTATTGAAGAAAGTACGGAAAGTAAGATATATCATTTGTTTTGAAAACAATTAATGACATTTTCTAATATATTACATTTCTAATATGTATTTTGATTACTCAATGTTATGCAAGGAATCCTTTTAATGGAAAGATTTTTTTTTTGTTTGTTTTTGTTTAATTAATTCCAGCACGAGCTCGAATATTTTTATTTCATATATAATACGTAATTTAATTAATAATTAACTTTTTCTTATAAACTAAATCTTAATCATAGAATGACAATACTTTCTTATTAGTTTATTATACAAAACAACTGATACTTTATTCAAAGTTTGTTTACAATGATGTCGATAATTATCAACATAAATAACAAAATTAATATTCATCTTAGAAATTTGAAATGTTCGTTAGTGAAATTTATCATAACATACATAGTTAAGTAAACAAACTCTTCCTTAAGTCTTTATTAATTCTCTTAATAAGTATTATTTACAAATAATAAATTATTTATTAAAGATAGTGCTGCTTTGTTAGTTTTCTCACTTTATACAAATGTAGATATTTTGATTCATACATATTTTTTCAAGGCAAAAATTAACTATGTTTTAATTATGTGTTTAATTGCATTAAAGTTATATACAAGAAGATAAAATTTAAGGCTTAGAAAAATATAATAATTCTTATTAGATGAAATGATACCAAAACACTTATTTTAATTTTTCTTATTCACTCTTTTCTCTTTCACTATATTTCTCTCTTGTTCTTCGATTTCGTTATTTTCCTTTTCACTTTCTTGTTTTTTCGAATATTTATTTTCACTTACAATCACATTATGAAATTTTCCAATATGTTTGAAAGAATATAAAACAATTATTCTGTTTATCTACAAAAATCTTTAGACATATTGTGCATATTTTAGTGATTATTTCATTTTGCAAGTAAGATATGATTTCATTATTGAAAATGCTCGTATTTTCTTTTCGCAGCTCAATAATTCAATTAGTAATAGCAATATTACTAAAATAATTCACGTTTACTTAATAGAAGCTAATTGTATTTTATTCTAAATATATCGATGTATACAGAAAAAAATTTGTGCATATAACATATAAAAGCTCGTTGCACTTTCTTGTTTCTTTAAACAATATAGTTTCTAAAGAATGATTTTTAACTTTATGCGAATAATACTGAAGTTTTTCAATTTAAGTCTAAAAAATGTTATTTATTATTAAATTAATGTAAATATTTATATTCATTGTTGAAACCACGAACAATGTGTTGGCGCATGATCGGTAATCTTGAAAAGGCACAGAGTATACGTTACACTTTATAGACCATATAAAAGATTGTTACTAGTACTATTTAATTAGACTTATATGAAACAGCTTAATAACTTCTTAAATATTTAAATTTACCTTTTAAAATATTAAATTTTATTTATATTATACGGTTAATTAAATTATTCCTAGTAAATCCTGTAAATTCAAATTCGATTATAAGCTTTTCCAAATAAATGAAAAATCTTTCTGACAAAAGAATTTATACTAATTTTTGTTAAATCTATAATAAAATACAAGATGAAAAGATATATTTGTTTAAAAGTATATTTTCCAAATTAATCATGGAAATAATAACTCTAATATTGATAAAAGATTTTGACAGCTCGAAATTGAGCTACTCTGTACATTTTCAATGATATGATCGGTTTACGGAGTATTTGAACACTCGCTTGGTATATATATATATTTTATTTAATTGTCTTTGGTAATTTGGGTGATATTAAACGTTATTTACAAATGTACAGTGTAGCTTCAATAAACTACATCTTAAACGATATTTATTTTTAATAAATCAAAAGCTATTTGATTATGATTGATCTTCGTCAGACGAAAGATTTTTTACTTTTTACACTGCTTTTTCAATTAGTTTTGGAAACTTATTTTAAATACTTCTGTTTCTTTTTAATACTGTTCTATTAATAATATTGAAAATTCGGTTTGATATGTTTTGAAAATTCGGTAATTAGTAGTTTATGTATTTTATTAAACCATGTATATATTACATGCACATAAATTACAGGATTAACAGCAGTTTTTTTTTTCAATAAATAAATCCAAAGCTTTTAAATAGTATGTATAAGAAAGGTATGCGTAATTCAATAATTTAGCACAATGGAAACACTTTGTTTTTTACAAAATTTACATTTACATGAATATTCATATAATGTATCATATATATATATATATATATATATATATATATATACACCAACATTATGAAATATTTAATTATAATATAGAAATACATTGAATGCTGCCGAGACGTTCTTAATAAACGTATTTTTTTATTTTAACATTTTTACTTTACGGCTAATATAATTTTACTTATGTTATCGACCTGATTATATTTTCAAACAACTAGGAAGTAATCAACTCTATTGAGAATCTATTTAAATATTTATCATTGAAAGTTGAGTACTAAGTATGTGAGGGTGGCGAAACGTTGCATATTTATATCAAGACAGGAACTATGTTATACAACGAATTATGAAATTGCTTGTTAGATCACTTTTAATAAAACATGCAGAAATTATTTATAAATTAGACATTTTTTCATAATCCTTTGTATCAGTGACATACAACTTGGTTAGAACTTTTGATTTTGATCTTTTAATGGAATTTTTAATTATAATAGCTATCATTTGTCCAAATCACATCAAATAAAAACGGAGAAACTAAAAGTTTCAAAACTGAATACTCATAATCTGCTTAGTTTATGCATATATAAATCAGTTGACAAATTTCGATGAATAGAATTTAATGATTCAAAAATCAATTATTAATTCAATGAAATAAGAAGCTGGTTAAAATTCAACACCAATGGCATTTCGTAATCAATTTATTTAAATGGAGAAAATACTAAATCCATTATATTAGAAATATTAATAATAATATTGACAATGACATAAAATTTTAGGTATTTTTTTTTTTATAAGATTTATTTTTTATTTTAATAATACGTGTTAGACTTTTTGAAAATTAATAGTAGTTTTGTCTGCGGATATAATAAACTAATCCTTCTAAGTCCTTTAATATTAAATTAATTTGTTAAAAAACATACGATATAAATAGTAATGTTCAGTATACAAGATTATTCCAATTTTGTATGAAAAAAATATAGAAATTTGAATTATAAAAATTTATTTTATTTCAATTATAAACTATTACTTTAAACTTCTTTAAATTAACATGATTATTTGATACAAACAATTTAAACTGAAAATTTATTATTCGAGAGATAATTATTTATATGGAAAAAAAATATACATATAAATATAGAAAAACAACCTGAGTCAAGATAATTATTCGAAGCAATTAATAAACAAATTATAAGCAGGATAAGAGATATAATTGAAAAAGATACTTTTTGGACTTGAAATATTCTTTATCAATGAATGTTGACAAAATTCTAGAAGTTTTTTTATCTAATCATGAATAATAAAATTTTATAAAAATTAGCGTAATTGAAATATTTACCTTGCTTATTTAGTCTATTTGTAATATTACAGACACACGTAAGCGCGCACGCATACACACACACACACACACGCACGCACGCACGCACGCACGCACGCACGCACGCACGCACATAATACGATGCTATTAAATTATGATTTAAGTCAATCAATATGTTGATAAATTGCACCAACATCATAAATATGAAGTATATTTTTAATTTTTGAAATATTTCTGCTGTAACTAAATAATCATACTATGGAATGATATAAAAAAATCTGTTTCAATATTTCCGGATGTACTGTTATAATGTCATCATTGAAATTTTATTAAGGGAAATAGAATAATATTGTAACAAGTGAACAAAGAACTATATTATTAAATCTTAGATTTGTCTAATAATACTGCCCGGTAAGTAGTATTTATTTTTTCATGCGTACGTCAAATTTACAAATTCTGTACATAACAAACATTGTTTTGTAATCTAAACTTAAATTTGCATATAAATGCTTTTCACTTTATATATATGCATTCTTGTATATTATAATTTGATACTTTAACTGTATTGAAAAAATGGATTTTTCTTTCTCCCACTTTTTATTTCTTTTTAAAAAAAAGTCTAACTACTTTTCAGTCTCGTGACCTGAAATGAAAGAGTTTTCTAACTCTTTTCCTTTATTGAAATAGTAATCTCGATATGACAAAAGTAAATCGCGCGATGAAATAGTTTCCCTCCTTTCCAAGGACGGTTTTATTTTTACGTTGAAAACCTTGCATGTTATATCTATGTTTATTTTTAATTATTTTTAAAATTTTTTCAAAAGAGTCTAATTTCATTTATTTATTCAATTGCAGTTGATTAAATTACTTATTGAATTACTTATGTCGTCTAACTTCAATTCTTCTTCTATTTGATTAATAATTAATATACTTTTTATGTACATTTATGAAGATTATGAGATTTGTAATAATAATAATTTATAATGGCCATAAATCCTAATACTTTTTATGTGATAATTCATATATATTGTAATTCAATAAAGAAAACATCGGATAAGCATAAACAATTGTTTCATTATATTGAAAATATGTACAATAAAGAAAATTTAAGTTAAATTGTTTTAGACTTGTATATAAGTACAAGTGTTGCTGTTAAATACGAATAGAATACAATTTAATAAAGTGTATATTAAATGAAGTCAAATTAAGACTGAAATAAAATCATGATATATCAATGAGAGATAAATATTTCGATCGGAAAAATCTTATATATATAATCTACATATAATCATTGGTTTATAAAAGTATGTATATATAACATAATTATTAGTAATTATTTAAAACAATTAAAAAGATATTCATGACTATCAAAATAATTGCAGAAATTGAAGCATCTCAACATAAAGAAATATTTATAAACCTTAGTGAAGTTAATTTTAAATGCGATGATACTAATTATTGATATAAAAATGCTTTTTGCCGTTAATATAATTAATACATAATATGTTTATTATTATTGTTGTCAACGTCGATAATTTATTAACTTCATTTATCAGCATCAATAGTTGGAACGTCGATGCCTAAAAGCTGATGAGCTTACGGAAGGCTTTGCGGAATTCTGGATTGAAGAGAGTATAAATAACGGGGTTGACGAAGCTGTTCATGTAACCGAGCCAAGAAGTCGCAATAAATGCTGCAACACCAGGCTGGCAGTCCTTCTTCATCTTGGAGCATAAGGCATCCATGGTATTGCAAGTGAAGAATGGCACCCAGCAGATTAAAAATACGCCTTAAAATAAAAAATCTGTTAAATTCAAGTGAATAGTATCGTTAAAAAGGTGACAAAAAATAAAATCAATAGTTAAGAAATCATTTGTCTGAGAAATTTGAATTTCATACGATTTCCAGTACTAAATAAGGAAATTATTAATGTTGGGTTGCTTTGTAAGAGCGTTAAAATCTTTTAATAACCATAATAATATATAGATTTAAGAAATTTAAAAGGATATTCTGGAATAGATTTTACGTATTTATAAATTTTTACTAATATTTTACTAGACTAGTGAAATATGAATTGTATTCATGTATTATTGCATTCATGCAGAAATAATTTATAAGCATAAATATGTTCAGCAAATAAACTGTTCAATAATATTTTCTAAAAATAATATTGAGTGTATATTGAAATTTATTCTATAAATATTATGTAGTATTTCTACATATAATATATCTAAATATATATATATACATAATAAAAGTTCTCGTATAGTATAATTATTTAAATACAAATATTGCCATTTATTGTACAAAATGCTTTAGCCATATATTGGGAAAATTTTGTCATATTATTAACAAAGTCCAGTGCCTTAGGCATCTTAATTTATGATTATATTTTGATATTTTTGAGAAAATTAATTTGGAAATAATTAATTTTGAAAATTTTTTCAAATGAGAGTTATATTTTAAAGTAAGTATAATTATGTATTGAAATGTATCAGAGCACATTGTAAATATGATTTATAAGAAAATAAACAACTAAAATACTAATTATATATTTGTGAAAATGGAATGAAATACCTTTTTATATTTCATTATTTTAATTTCATGAAAAAATATTTTAAGCGTAATTATATGTGAAACTATTTAATTTATAATTATATTTTCAAATATGCTCTTAAATTTTTAAATTATCAATTCTATAATTTAATAAAGAAAAAGTGGAATTTAAAACATCATTTTTGAGAAATTCTTGAATTAAGTGAGTTTAAATTAATAACCGCGATATCTCATTAATACTGCGTATAAAAAATTACTGCAATATAAGGTATACTGCTACGTTATTTCACACAGTTGCTAAAAATGTTTATAATGAGTATATAGAAATTTTAAGGAAATTAGAGTTAACAAATTTAATATTTATTAACGTATATATATATACGAGACCAATTAAATTTTTTATCTTTTATATTGTCGAAATACCATAAGTGTTCGATTAATAAAAGTATAATTATTTATATAATACTTGCAATAGCTTTTTATTAATTATTAATAAAAGTTACAGTTCGATTATAAATAATGTAACTAACGCTCAGTTATAGTTATGTAAACAATAATAATATTTCCAAAAAATACAAGTTTTTATTTTCGATTATAAATTACTATATGTCATATATTGTTTTGTTATATAAAAACCGTATCTACTTACAACATTATTCACTACGATTGTTATTCAACTTTTCAGAATAATACGAATTATTATAGATATAATAATTCAATGAAATTAATTAAATATTTTCTAAATATCCATCTAAAAATATCTTGATATAACAGTACAAAATTATTTCTTCATATGTAATAATTATAAAATCTTAATAGACATTAATAAAGATCCAAATTAAGAGATCAGCATTCTTATATATATATATATATTGATGCATCATTGATATTTCTAATTATTTATATTCAGCGTAAATGTTATTACTTTCTGTATGTGATATAATCTATATAATATATTGATGTTCTTGTTCTATTTAGTAAATGGTGTATTCAAGTAATATAATATTTTAATAAAAATTGTTTATTTACAGTTAATCATGATATTTACGATTATATACTTTTTAAGTTGTATTTTGTAAGAAAATAATTATAAAAACAAACTTTAAAATTCTAAATGAATTAAAAATTAAAAAGCAAATTTAAATATAGAGAAATTTATAGAAAAATGGAAATATATGTGATTGCAATTTCAGAAATTGACTGCTATAATTTGCTACCGATAGTCGACAATGGAAAGTGATCAGTAAGATATTATGATGACATGATATAAAAAAAAAAAAAAAGAGAAATGGGAATCGAGTCTACATGGCTAAAAAGAATTTGAAATTAACCGTCTGCTTCGGCATTGATGACAAATTAAATTTTATACTGGATGAAGTCATATATATAACCAAATGTATTATTTTTCATTCTATGCATTAATACTATAACATTTTCAAATAGAAATAAAAAATAAATATTGAAATAAAATTATAATCATTGATATTAATATTCAATCAAGGACTTATTTTCGTCAATCACATTTGTGCATATAATCACTATGTTAATATTGACATTATGTACAATGATACCAAATTAAAAAAAAAAAAAAAAAAAAAAAACTAATAACTAAAAGTTGTTAACAAATTCAATATGAATTCATGATTTAATATTATTCGATTTTATCTGTGCCGTTCCTTTGCTTAAAAGAAACGACGTTACAATATTTGATTATTTATAATAGATTATTATCTACATACACATATTTATAATGTTCTATAAATTATTTCATCTTATTTCTTTTCTTATAATCTTAGATAGTGTAATATAGTACCACAATTTCAATACTTGATTTCTTCCCAATTTCTGTAGTACAAAATTCCTATTGACAGAAAAATTGAATAAAATTGAATAAGAAAGGCAAGTGGCAAAAATGGAAAAGGGAAGACAGATGAAACGTAGATAAAAAAAAAAGTTCGTTTTTACGTACCGAGAACAATGGCAAGGGTTTTGGTAGCCTTACGTTCCTTCCTAGCCGAGATTTTATCCCCTTTTTTCTTACTGGCCTTGTTAGCTTTCCGCAAGTTGAAACGGGAACCCGTTGACGATGATGTCTCCTGTTTGTGATCCTTCTTACTTATGTGTGTGCGTCCGATGCTCTCCCCACACATACTTCCAGTTGTTGGCGCGCTAGGGCTATTTGACCTGCCGATTCAATATATATCACGTGGCGTTAAAACTAGAGTAAATAGGATTGGACGCGTATTCTGGCCATCCAATAAATATAATTCGCTGTAAAAATATAATTGGCAGACGAATTTAAATTAACAATTAATTATAACAATTGATTAGATACTTAAATAGTATATTATAGATTCATCTTACAGTGCAAGTTTGCTTATTTATATTATTCGTTGAAATTATAAAAATGAAATTTAAAACGGAACATTTTTATTAATACAGAGAGGAGATAATACATAATTGACAATTAAAACTCGATATTGTATGGCCCATTTAAAATGCTCTATTTGAATTTTGACAGCTTTTTTTACATTTTTTGTATAATTTCAGTTTTATACATAAATTCTTAATTTATATTAATTAAAACATTACGTAAGTACATTATCGTGTTAATATAATTAAATTTTAAGAACGTTATATCATTATACTGGATGCTACACTAGATTATGTATTGATTAATTTCAATATTTTTATGAAAATTATTATAAAATAAAATTCACATAATATTTTAGATGTTCCTACAAAAAAAAAAAAAAATATATATATATATATATATATATATATACTTCTGATGGCACTTCAATTAGCTATATATAAATTATATAAATTAACATAGATATTGTAGTAACTTAAATTTAATACTTACTGGATATTTGTATTCATGGGGATGAATTTTATCAAAATTTTAGAAAAAATAATGAATCTTAGTGGTCTTTCGAATTTTACACTATGTTTAAACAATTATTATAGCTGAAGAAAAATTCTTATTTTTATATAATTAAAATCAAAAGTAAAAGATACTGTTTTTATGTAAGGTAAGCTTTATGTTAAGAGATTAAATTTCTTATATATTTTTAATCATAAGTGAATACAAAAATTAATATGTAGTACTTCAATATGAAAATGTTTAAATTAAACTAGTGGTAGTTACATAAATTCTTAGTTTAAAAATTCTTTTAAATAAAAAGTAATTCAAATAAATTTAATAAAAACGGAATATATAATTAAATTATATATATATATATATTTAATTATCATCTATAATTTAGGTTTTGACTAAATTAGTTTAACATATCGGTATTCACGATAGTGTTATATTATTAATATATATAAGAATTCAAATATTTACACACACTTTTGACTATTTATGATTGCGAAGAATTTAAACAATATATTAGACTTTATGAAAAATATCCTTCTTCATTATTATATTATTACACTTAAAATTCCAAATTATAATTTTTTAATTATAACGTAAAAAAATGAAAAAATTTATAATATATTTACAAAAGTTTTAATTTGCGTTATACATATCATAAGCATATAAAAAATCAATTTGATTAAACATAATATTAATATTTTTAATCTGTTTTAAAAAATTGGATAAATTACTGATAAAGTAGACTACAACTGATAATGAATACCGTCGAATTAAATAATATTATATTTCACTGAAAAAGAAGCCTTATTAATATTACAAGTTTCAGCCTATTTTTTTTATTTGTTCATTTAATAAAATTGTTCGTTTTAGGTCTGATTAATATCCTATATTTTCTATTCCTGAGCTTTAAAATATACACATTTCGTTAGTGATTGCTAATGTTATTGTAGTTATTATCAGGTGATCCATATTGACTATGCCTAGCAGATTAAAAATTAATGAAATAAAATATGAATATTAACAAAATTATCAATGTGATCCGATGAAATTTTGTAATTATTCATCAAGTATATGTTGATGGAATGATTGTTTAACCAATGTATGAACGTAATAAACATTGGACTTGGCCTCCAGCAATGAAGTTACCTGCCAAACTGATGTGGTAATAATGAGCCAATGTTTCTGATTTGTTTGATTTCCTGCTTATTCGCTCCATTGCCATACTTCTTAATATGCGAGGATATGGAAGAGATCCCTCTCGGTGGCGAGGAAGTTGAAGAAGAAGAACCTGAAGTTAATTTCGTGATTGCGTTCAGGTTTGAATTCTCGATGTCTCAACGGTGTCGGGAAGCATCGTACCACATGTTTCAGGGTTGTAACCCGAGTCTTTATGAGTTCTCGTAGTATTGAGCTGCGCTTGTGCCACAGCGCTCATACGACAACTGTGCAGTTGTAAAAAGGTTACTTCGTTTAACATTTTTTAACTGTTTCGACGACGGCATTTTTATCTAACCGATTTTTTTCTCTGTATATAGTTTCTATGAAACTAAATATAACAAAAAAATTATAGAAAAAAATATTTTTGAATGTGCAAATCAGTTAACAGATTTACAGTCATATCCGCCTTACATCAAGCTTATTGATAATAATGCAAAGATTTACTGCTATGTAACGCCATAAAAAATTAATTGCTAATAAAAATATTATGTATTTTACAGTTACGAAAGAAAAGTTTTATAATATATATCAGGCTATTGTTAAACTGTTGTTAAACTTACTATCCTACTGCATTTACAAAATATAGAAAATAAAATTAGCAATATTTTTATAATTAATATATCGTGTGATCTTGATTACAGATATCATAGATACGAAATTAAACGTTTTGTTATTAGTATTTTTTTATTTTTATATAAAGATATTTGGTCACTCATTAAAGAGTTTATTCGAAAATAACATACTTAATTTCGTATAAATTATAATCTACGTACTTATAATAAAAGAAAATCACTTTAGAAAACCATTTCATTTGTTTTGATAAAAACTACTATAATATGCGTATAAAAAAGTCGTCAATCGTTTGATTAAATGTATAAAACTTCATATACTAATTTTCTACTCAAATTTCTTTATAAGATATATATATATATATATATATATATATATATATATAATGTAGACCATCTTCTTATTCTTGTTAGTAGTCAGTTTTTACGGCCGCTTTGGCCAGTGTGAAGTAACCTGATTAACTTTCGACGTCTGAAGTTGCAGTTCTAGTGGAAATTCGAACAAACTTTTTACTTTCGCTTGAACATTTCGGATTACAGAATATCCGAATTATATTATTTGGGCGATTTTTTGTCACTATCTTGAGATTGGTTCCTTTATATATATATATATTAGGTCACTATTTTCTTTTGTTCTACAAAAATTGTCATGTAGATCTTCGGCTAACGTTCTGTTTCCCTATAACTTCCCTTCTAAACTACCTAGAAAAGTATCTTGTGTAAGATGCATAATAATATGTTCACATTCGTTTTTGTAATTACTAATATTAGTAAGGCAGAAATACTTTTCTTCTTCTTTGATAAATCATTGATATTTTAATTATTGTAGAAGTTTATCGCACAATACATGTTTTGTTATGAACATGTGAGATTTGAATACGTGTGCATGAATTCTGTAGTTATATAAACAAAAAATTATATAAATCAATATTGTTAGACTGATGATTAACTAATTTTTTCGTAAATAAAATTCTTTATATAAATGTCATTTTCTTATTCAAAACTTAAAAAATATCTCGTTCTATATTAATTATTATGATGTATTACTTATCAGTTTATTTACTATTAATTAATAAATATTGCTAAAATAATTAAATAAGTCCCCCATAATCTGCTAGAATAAGTGTAATATATTTTTTATAATAATTTCTTCATTTGACGTGATTATAATAAATTTCTATTTCATTTTTCAATGCAATCATATACATTTAACTTTAGTAAATGTTTGAAAAATGTATCTATTATTTTATCTAAATTAATTTCTCTAGAAATATTTTTAATCTTTAGTACTTGTATTTAAGATTTGCGGCCTTTATCTTGTTAAATGATAAAGTAATATTGTTATAGATATCAATATATAAATAGAAATATAATAAAATTAATTTTTTATAAATTTGTGAATAGCATGATACATAATTTTTAATTTACATATCATTTTATTGAAATTTGTGATATATTTAATGTAACTATATACATTCAGATATTTTATAATTTATTATTTTTTTTTTTATTAAGAAGTTGGAAGAAATTGAATGAGAAAATAATAAATTTCATGAATTTTATTTTTAAATTATATTAAAGGAGAAGATTATGATTTTTATTACAGCTGAACATTATGATACATGAAAGCATTTATGAGATTGGAAGCGTTTTACTTTATGACTTTTAATTTATGGCAGAAATCCAAAAATTTTCTGCAAAAATATAATAATATAATAGAATGGCAAATAATAGTAATCAAGATGTCTATTATAATTGCAGATAAATTTATCAATTTTTAAAATTTTATAAAAAATTAAATATAATGGGATAACATATGATTCGCCTATAGACAAATTTTTTTTTTTAACAAAATGTAGATTTTGTTAGTGTAATTTTGCGATTGTTAGTGGTTATCAAAGTTTAGTATAGATCTTTAAAATAAATAAAATAATTTATTTAAAATTTTATATAAAAATATAAATTGAAATAAAATGATATATTTCATTGTCGACTATAAATATAAATTACTACATTTTGAAGATAATATTTTTATCCTATCATAATATAAGATAATGATAGAAGATTTAAATAAAATAATAATGATAATCCATTTTTGTTTAAATTTCAATTTGAAATATAATTTTTCGATCTGTTAATTATATTCATGTTCTTACCGTTATAATTTTATTCCTAATTTCATTATATATTGAATCTATAACGTATGCTGAAAAATTTGTTTGTTGATTATTTTTTACTCAACTTTAAAAAAAACGAGCTTTAGAAAAAATTTATCTTCATCCTGGAATGAGTGAAATGAATAAAAAGGTGATTTGTAGAAAAAGTCAGTTTCAACAATTCTGAACAATGATAATGTTTTACGGAAAAGTGGAGAGAAGACCTTTTTCATCGCTCCATTTTCTATGAATGCAAGATTAATAGAACTACTTGATAATCGTCTGTTCCTTCATTCCTTCACCGGTTATTCCATTTGTTACTGCTGTTCTATTGAATGATGTTCGGTTGCACTTTTCGAGCCTAGATAGTCTCGAGTTTTCTCTTAAAAGCATCGCATTTTCTCCTTAAGAGACAAAATGAAAGAAAGAACGAAAGGGCGCATGACTTCTTCACATAAACACTGCAGCTGCAGTGCTTTATAAACACTTAACACATATTTGTATTAGCTATCTATACTTTTGAATATTTTCCATATTTCAATCGTATATCATTCCTACTTCTAACACATTTGTATTTATAACATACGCATAGATGTAGATCATTGCATTTTATCATTCAACATTAAATATTTTATATTAAAAGTAAGGTTATATACCTATAAAATAAACGAGAGCTCTTGTCACTTAGAATTTATTTGTCAAATATTACAAGAAATGTAACTTAAACTTTCTATCTAATTCAAATGAGACTTTTTTTATCACCCTAGTTAATGAAATTTAACTGTTGTAGCTTGAAGCAAGCATAGTAAATATTTGAATACGAAGAATATAATTAGAAAACTTTCTACTTTAATATATTGCGCCTGTTATTTGAAAATAATTTTGTACAAAAATACTGATAATTAGAACTCGAAAATTTTACGGAAAACACATCTTATTTTTATAATCATTTTATTCAACAATTAATTTAACATTATTCAATTAATTTACTTTCTCAAGTGATAATTTTATATTTCGTTTATTAAGATCATTTAAGTAGTGTATTGACATACTTCATTGGTAGTTGATTATCTTTCATGAATCCCAATAATAATAGATAATAATGTATTTATGTTATTATATTCTTTTTAGTTGAATCAATTATCTATTTTGTCTATTACAATATATGCGATTTATTTATTTATTAAATACATTAGTCTATTCTAATTACAAATATTTATTTATCCGTAGTTTATAATTTTAAAAATTATATTTTATTTATTTATAAAATCAATCAAGCTAAACAACAGTTTATTGAAATATAAATGTTTTAAGAAATGCTTTTTGATCTCTGAGTATTAAACTACTTAAAAATTTTTGTAAAATAGCATTACAATGTAATTAAAATAATAATGGATTATAATTATGAAGTTTTAAAAGTTAGATCATTTATTATTAGAATCTTGAAACAATTTTTCCAATGTATTATTATATTATTATAACTATAAATATATTAAATAATTTTGATGTAATATAAAAATTTTCTGTAAAAATAATACATAAATAAAAAAATTCTTAATGTCTATGAATAAATTAGCTCCATTGTAATAAAAGTTTTATAAAATAATATAGTCAAGTTTTCACTTAAATGAATCTAATTTTTTTTATAAATATAGTTTATTGAATTAATAACAATACCCTTGGAATTTTAGAAAATATTAATTTATAAAGTAAAATTTCATTATAAACTATAAAGATACTATTTATCGAGTTAAAATTGTCAATAATGTTAATAATATATTTGCTTACCATTAATTTCTTATTTTTAATAAAGTTTTATCAAAAAAAATAATAATTCTTTTTTCTAGATTATATTTCTCTTCATTATTACAATTTATTATTAATTATTTTTCTGTTCATTTTCTTGTTAACAAACTATTTTTATTTAAAATGTCTTGTCTCTATTTTATTTCTAATATTTTACAAAAATGTACAATTATAACTTCAAATGATTTATTTCGAATTTTTAGTGGAGTCTACATTTCCTTAATTCCTTTACAACTATTCTTTGAATTGTTTAAATTAATAAGCCATCTTTCTATTTTCACTAATAAAATGGTCAGAGCGTAAAAGCATTTTTCGTCAGAACAATGCAGATTCCCTTGAAAAAGTTTTATGAAAAAAGTGCAAAATTTTTCGCCTTCTAATATCTTCCTTGTGAAAAAAAAAGGTTGTAGAAAACCTGTAAATAAAGCTTTCCGCGTATATTATAGAAGATGTTTAAGAACAAAAAGCAATAAAAGATGAGGGCAGAAGATACAGAAATACATAGGCAACTAAAAATAATAGACAGTTAAATGTGAAAATATAAATAAAGGTAAGTGTAATGTAAAAGATGTAAATATTAATACGAAATAAGCTGATTTAAGTAACTATTTATGATCGTTTATATAAAATCGATACAAAATGGAAACTAGATATATCAATTGAAATGAAGTATTTTATAGAATTTTAATTCTATTATTAACGCAGATTCTGTTAGAAAATTACTATTCGCGAAATTATAATGCAAATATTTTAAAATTCTAAATAGAAATGTTGTAGTGAAGAAAATAGATATTTATCTTCTAAATATTTCTTACACTTGTAGACGTATGTGCTTCCGCGCTAGTGCGCTTACGTATGTGTATGACATCAACGTGCGTATGCACAAGTATGCAATTTGTATAATACAATATGCCATTGTGTTCACACGCGTGTGCATGTATTAATATACATTATGTGTTTCCACTTATGTGCTTGTTTGCGCGCTAGTTGAAGTATGCACATAAATGTATGCATACGCATTTGTACATACAAGCATGTAAATAAGCTCGTACGTGCGCGTGTGAATGCATCGATAGATAAATAGATATATTGATATTGATTTATTGATAATAAGCTACACGTATAAACCAGATGCGTAAGCAGAGCTAGAGAGAGAGAGAGAGAGAGAGAGAGAGAGAGAGAGAGAGAGAGAGGGGGGGAGAAAGAGTAAGTAAAAAAGGATAAGTGAAATTATATTCCAAATAAGAATACGAATAAAAGTTTCAACTTGCGACTAAGGTTATATCGATCCAGCTTTTTCTAACTCTTACAAAACGTACTTAAAATTTGTTATTACATACTATCCAGTTCTAGTTGCTTATAAGATATATTTTAACATATGTAGCATAGCCTTAAATATCATATGTATTATATATATTATTGTATATGTATTATTGTATATGATTATTAGATTCAATCAGATAATTTAAGGAAAATCTGAATCGTTATACCTCATTTTAATTATAATTATAAATTTTAATTACAATTATAAAGCTTCTATTAATCTAAATCATTAAATTAGGTATTAATTCATCAACAATTTTAGAATATTATTTTTTAATTTTAAAAAGGAACTTTAATCCCTGTGTTCATTATTTTTCTATATATAATGTATACGCTATACATACTATGTTATGTAGAATAAAATTTATTACATATTATATTATAACGATATGTAATATTTTCATACTAGTTTGTATTGAGATGATATTAATATGGATTGTATCATATATATTAAAATGATATTAATGAATTTTATCTATTAATATGAAGTAATTGACTCGAAATAAATTAATACATTTATTAATTGTAAAAAGTAATATAAATGGGATAAAGATTAATTAGAATTAAATTTATTTTATTATCTTTAAGTATGTACAGAATTTATGTTTAAATATTTTTTATTTTTTTTTTTTTAATTTTTAAGAGATTTTTTATCGAAGTCTAGAAAGATTACATTCATTTCCATTTTATATTTTTAAATATTTATTAATATATACTTTTTTAATTATACATTAAAATCTGTTTATCGATTTTTTTAATTTTTTTTATTTTTCTAATCAATGTATGTAATTTTTCACATAATTTTTTTCATATAAAAATGAAATGCAATATATGTACGCGTATAAAAAAATAATATATAATATATATAGAAAATTACGAATATGACATTATTTTATGATAATAATATAGTACTCATTTAAGAAATAATAGAACTGTAATGACTAAGCGTAAACATTTTGTTTTATGTCACATAAGCACATATGAAGTAAGATGGTAAACATTATTATTCCGTGTACTATCAGCTTTTTCAATATAAATAGAATAAATTAGTTTTCAGCTTCATTCAACAAAAGTTATTTAAAAATCAATGCATAGGATTTTACGTTACCATTAATACATTATTGTGAGTAAAGGTATTTATTTATAATTAAATTTTGACTAACTATTAATATTAATAGATAATTTATGTATTTTTAACTGCGCTTAAATAGCGTGTTGTGGAGAAAAGGAAATAGTTGATCTGTCGATAACTTAAAGTCACGTGTCAATTACTCTTCTAATTTATTTTTTTGCTACTCCAACTACGACAATTTGTCAGATTGCAGATACAGATAACGTGAATAGAAGAAATATAATATATGAGTTAAATGTTTTTTGGTAAAACGAGTAATATGATGAAGTATTAATTATTTGAACATACATATGTATTGCATATCATTCGCTTATTATTTCATACTTAAATATTAGGATGTTATAATTCATTTGCATAATATCTCATTGCTTAGGAGAGAAAAGTTTTGATAAAACCACGATCAAATTAGTAATTCAGCTATGGCGTGATTACATCATAATATCATACAAATTCTTGAAATTCCAACGAATTACTCCATTATGAAACAAAAGCTTATTTATTCCTTATTCAATTAAATAGTTTATTTTCAGCTGAAACGAATTTATTTATATTTTTGTTTCAATCAAATTAAATTAATTTATTTAAAAATTTATTTTAAAATTGAACAACAAAAAATAAAATAATAAAATTATATTTAACGTACAATGTTCTATATTAATCAATGTGATACTTAATCATTAATTTATTATATATGCTAAATTGTCAAATAGAGCTGTTTTAAATATGGTAATTCTATTATTTCCGCTATTTAAAATCTATAAATTAAAAAGATTTGATCGTAATAATATATTTCACGATATTGCTTAATTGTTAAATTTTATGAATAAAAATGAGTTCTGGAATCACCAATAAATTCAAATTATGAATTACAAAATTAATTTAATTCAACATTGCAATATAAACTACATTATATTTAACAATATAATTAACATATAATAACAAGATAATAACTTAACCATTATATCAAATAATCTTTTCTATTATAACAAATCTTTCTTTATTCTTCTAATCATTACAAAGAGATTAAATTTAATAGAGAGCATTAAAAATTTTTAATACTACTTACGCGGCTTCTTCCACAACGGTAGCGAGGAAAAACTCTGTGCTCTTGTCGTTTGATATGACAACAACGGGATCCAAGGGCGTTTCGTCTTCGTCTTCGTTGCTGCCAGATGCCGTGTTAGTCGGTTCCTCGATACCCGGAGCAACCAAGGCTGCAGCACCCAACGCCGTCTCCGCGAACCTTGCCACAGAATATCCACTACGTGTGATCTTAGTCAATTGTTGTTCTAAAAAGCTTCTACTATTTACACCACACTAGCTTTAAAATGAATTTCATTTCGTCTAGTATTATATTTAACGATTTTATTAACAAATATTATTGTACTTTTTTTTCTCATGCTTTATAAATGTCAAATATAAATACTAGTAAAAGTAAAATAGTGTAAATATAAATACTCACAAACTCCTGAAATACCGGATTTAATGTGACAAAATTAATTAATTAATTATTAATATAGTGATTCTTATATTGAATAGTATTCAAGATTTCGAGGTATATTTGTTATTAATGCGAATAAGAGTCGGAATTAAAATAAACTAATACAGAAAATGTCTGCTTTTGACTTTAAAGGAATGCTTTATAATATGATATGATAAGATGCAAATACATACTATTTTTACAATTAAATGACATGATATTATTTTAATCTGAAAGCAGATAAAATAACTTCAATAACATAGATATAAATAATTCAAAGCCAACATTAAATAATTACGTAAAAAACTGCTTGTATGCTCTACTATCTATTAAAATTGTTATTAAACCGATAAATTAGATATTTAGATTGTCTCATACAATCATTCTAATAATTTCATGAATAATCAATTATCAGGTTCATATTATTTAAAAAAGATTTTATTTTAAATATTTTCATTCAATTATAACTGACATTAGCATTTCAAATTAATTAACTATTTGATACCAAATTGAAACTCATAAAATATATTTATTTTCATTTAAAAATTTTAAATTAAGAATGACTGAGTATTATTAATGCATGTATTTGTAATTTTAAATATATTAATGATTCTTCGTTTAATTATTTCAGTGTAAAATAATTTTGAAAATTTGAAATTAAATTTTTAATTACATATTATTCTGTTCGTTAATATTGTTTCAACCTATTTAAAAAAAAACTATTTAAAATTTTTATATTAATAAAAAAAAAGTATTTTCAATGTAGTTAAGCTCTAACATTCAATACAAATGCATATTTATGGTTTACATAAAAATTAAAAAAAAAATATTATAAACATCATTATATGTTATATGAAGTTTCTGACTTTATTAATTGTTCAATAATCAATTAGAATACGATTAAATCCAAGTATTACCTCGAAGATTCTCCTACCACGCGTCAACGAAAGCCATGAAATAAGTTTATTTGCCGGAATAACGTTAACGAGTTAACATATAATTTAAAAATTCCAAAATTATGAGCATTGGAGGCTGATGGAATGAAAGATACAGGTAGAAAAATATTGACTTTTAATTATAACTGAAATTACTATTTAGTAACGGAGCTATTAAACTATAACTTACAGTGACCTACGTGGTGCATCACATATATTTATCAAACTAATTTATACAGCTACATGTATGAAAATAGATAATGGGATTATAATTGCACTTGAATAGAGTATGATTATAAACCCTAAACTAGTATGAAGCTCTGCATGACTTATAATGTCGAATATATTTAACTACTTGATGGTAAAGTATTTGTCGGTAGAGCAATCATAAAAATATAATTTTGACTAATTCAATAAATAGCCACAATATTATTATTTTTTTATAAATTTAAAAGGTTAGAATTCTTTTATTATTCTTATTTTATTTATTGTAGAGGATAATGTTTCAATAAGACAACGGTGTGCCCTGTTATGTAGAAAACATATAAATAAAATTAAAAATAAATATAATCATTTGAAATGAAATCACAGTGTACTATCACTTTTTATAGTATAACCAACTTGAAAACAGTAAAAGAAATATTAGTCAGTATTAAATAAATTGAGACATTTTAATTTTAAACATAAACATTTCAACATAAATACTAATATTTACTAATATTAATAGAACAAGAACATACTTTGTTTCGAAATTATTAATTTGTATGAAAAGAAACTTCTATTCGTGTTATGTAAAAATTATATATACACTAAAAAAAAAAAATTAATGCAACAAAATACAAGTTCTTTGCAGTATAATTACCTTCGTTTTTTTAACAATAAGTTTCATAAAGATTTTAAGAAATGTTTATGAAAAGAACTGTTTATAAATAAAATAGGCGAAAAAAAATCAATTGTAAAAGAACAGAGACGCGAAATACTTTTCATAAAATTACTATTTCGTAATTTTACTTTTCGTAAAATTACTTTTCATATAACAACGGGCAAATTTTTTCATTTTCATCATTAATTACATACACAGATACAATAATAGTAATTAATTTTTCTATTTTCTTTTGTGTACAGAGTATAAAGTTTATAAAGTCAAGTAAATCAGTTCAAGTTCAAGGAATAATAATAGTATTTCTGTTTAAATAAGCGCGCGCGTGTGTTTGTTCGTGTCAGGAGTGAATGCAGACCCATTTTTAATAAGATTCCAAAAATTTCAGATGCAAAGTAGTCAAATAATTTTGTTTCGTAGATACAGTACTTAAGGCATATATACGTATATGGGTTAGACGCAAATATGAAATAAAAACATAATAATTTTTGTACTTATAAGAACGACTATGAGGAATAATACAGACATAATACAAAAATTGTAATGATAATTCACTCTTATTTCTCAAAGGAAATCAATAGGAGACAGAGTAACTTCATCAAATTGTAAAAGATTTCTCAGAACTGTAAGGTCATCATGTTCTATGTTAAAATGTGATTGCTAAGAAAACTTGACCTAAACTGGTCGAAGAAGGTTAGACTGATCATTAAGAGTTGGTTCGTAACGATGAAGTAGATAAGATGGCTAGAAGGATGTAGCATGAAGTTATTAATTTTTTCATTTTCTCAATTTAATTCAATACAAAAATAATAAAATATATATAATACACTGAAATTATTTCTTGATCTGCAATTACATTTGTTATATTTCGATATCACGAGTTAACGCAAATAGGCATTCAAAATACGTTTAAAATAATATCTGTGATTGCAATTATATAAATTAGAAATATTAAACGTAAATTTTGGTCAAGTCTACTATTAATAATTAATAGAAAATATATCCATATAATGTTGATATTATTCATCTTTTTCAAAAAATATCATGAGTCTAACGTGTAATGTTTATTTAAATTTGATTACAAATATATCTACTAAAAAGACACTTTGAGTGTATCAGTATATTTTACCTTAAAGCTTAATTTTAAATAATGAACTGCATAACATATTCAATACTTAAATATAAAGTAAACTTTAAATATTAATCTATCGGTAAATTATTTTTATATATTTTAATATTTTTATATTTGTATTATTTATATATTATGTGTGCGTATGTGTGTGTGCGCGCGCTTTGTATATAAAATCGTAAAATGTTAATATTAAATAAATATGTAATTATCAATATTTTAATAATGTAGTTAATTAAAATAATTATAATTTTAGCGAATTTCAAGAATTTTTTCAGTTTTTGATTTTCCCATGTACGACGTAGAGGTTATTGTGTATACGTGTTTCTAGAAGCCAATGCATCGGTCAGGGCATTGAAAGTCGGCTAATTCTGATTTATGGCCAGATACTTGGGTATTTCCCATTGTTTATGTGCGAAAACCACGCTGACGTGCAGTTAGGCAAATTAGGCTGACATCAATCATTAATATAAATATGTTCAACAAAAATGAGATATTATAACTATATTTCCTTATAACTATAATTGAATAATCATTGTTAGCTTATCTGTAATGTTCGCTAAATGTGCTGTTTCTGAATACTTTTCAATGACAATTTAGCGTTTTAATTAATATGTTTTATTTATCATTAATTTCGTATGTCAAATATACTTGTTCTATCCAATCACCTATTCTTACATATTTATATATTTAAAAATATAATTAAAAAGAACGTTATAAGTACATAATATTAATATTTTACTAAATTAAAGTATAAATTTAAAGTAAATAATGTAGTTATATAAAATTTTACCTACCTAAACGTTTACTCTTTCAGCATAGTTAATAAAGTTTATTAATTTTTCTTATATTCATAATGATATTATGCAGAATGATATTAAAGAAATTAAATTCTGCAGAATTGTATTATTTAAAAATGATCCCTTAGAGTTTTCAGCAAGCCAAGCTCATGAGACTAATATTCATAGAGATATAAGTACAGATAAAAAATATGTATAAAAAATAAGAATAAAAAAATATGAAAGTTTTTTATTAGAGTGTTCATTTAAACCAAAAATATTTCACTCTTATATACAACAAGCTTCATCATTATATAGTTTTATGACACAAATGAGATATTACCTTTCTTATTTCATACAAAAATTGTAATTTATTTTGCACTTGATTTAAAAATTTTCATAAGTCTAAATGACTATTAAACAATTAGATATAAAATTGTTCGAATTATGATTATAGAGAGATTAAATTTGACTTTGTTTCTTAGACCTTTACACACTGGGCATCGGTGTGTAATTAAATATTTATTAAGTATTCTTTAAACGATATATTTGCAAATCTCAAAACTTATACTGAAATATGAATAAACAATAAAATAAATTTCCAAGGGTAACAAGATTATGTAGAGATAATTAAATTAACAGTCATATTATATTTAAAAATAGAGAAATTGGAATAATTATTGTGAATACGATTATTTAATTTGTAAAGATAATTGTATTAAAAAATATAACTATAAAAATTGAAATGAAAAAATATAAGCATAAAAAACTTTAGTAAAATAACAAATGTAAACAAAAAATTTAACCAATTTACATGATAAATATTGCAAAGCTTACAAATCGTTTGGAGGTTAACTTGAATGAAACTGTTAATAACATTTTTTGTTTTGTTACGTAAATATTTAGACTTGAATAATATTCATTTATAAATTCACTATTACATTGATTGTCTAAATTTTCCGAATACTTTTTATTTTATGATTGGATTTTTTCATAGTTCATTAAAAAGTAAAACTGCATTTTATATTTAAAAAGTTTTCATCCCACGAACTAAACTTAATAGAAATTTGTGAATAATTTATCTTGAATTAAGCCATTCAGACATCATTGCTACATATACTATGCAAATACTTATTTATGCAGAAAGGCAAAACTATTAATTTCAGCAACTATAGCTCACTACAATAATACTTCTGTTGCTTTATCATCAAAAAGAAATTGTGGATTAACGAAGATTTTAAAGAAATGAAGAAATTTTTAAAATCTGGTTTTCTTTCCATTTATCTTTTCTTTTCCGTACTTTCATATTTGTTTGTTTTTGTTTCTTTCTGACTTAACGATAAAAACAGCAGAAAATTTCTCCACTAAGCGAAAGATTAATAAGATTTTTACTCGTATTTCACTCACCTGCGCGTGTTGGCTATATTTTCAATTATACAACTGGATTTGATATCTCCCATGTTAGACTTTCGATTTGCACGCTTTTTTTTCTCCCTGTCGCGAAGTGCCTATAAAATCATTATAATGCTTAATTAATATATTATTTCAGTATTAAATGTTATACCAACTTTTACAGAAGCTGCTTTTACAAATTTTATTAGCAAATAATTTTTTATTTGTTAATAATGTGCTAAAATATAACTAAAAATATTTTATCTTTAATTATAAAAATGTTTTAATGCCATCAATTATGAACATAAATAAATAATATAGATTCTTTCTTATGTATTTTCGTATTATTTCGTATTATAGAACTGTGATTATTATTTACATTTGATATTCGTTATTTAGATAATAGTACATTCATATTCTTAAGGTATTATATGTAAAATTTTCGGACGCAAAAGTTCACATAATTGATTATTCCTTATATTAAAATAATTCTTCTTTGTTCTAAATTTTTTCTTTGCTTCTAAATTTCTTATGCATAATGAGTTCATAGAACAGCGCGAAATATATCAATTGTTAATTATAATTATAGGTTATTATAAAGGAGTATATCTGTTCATTGAGGCTTACACTGAATATTCTGTAATATAGAAAAACCATGGTAAGACAAGGTATATAAAAACTGCTTAGGCTCGAATAGATGATGAAATCGGTGTGGTAGAAAAGACAAAGATCTGGAACTCTGTCTGGTGTGTTGTTCAATCCCAGGACTATGGGACTGCCGATTGCTGCTGATACTGCCCATACTAGTAGAATAGTTAACCATACTCTTCTATTGTTTTTGTGCTTAGCATATTCGATTGGCCGTGTCACTGCAATATATCTGTAATATATATCAAAAAATTATTTATACAGTTTTTGGAAAAATAAGGAAAATTACATTAAATATTTAAGACATTAAATGTCACTTAATTGTAGGTGTGTGCCGACATATTTTTTTCTTTATTTTTTTTTTTTTTATTTTTATTATTTCTAATAATTGAAATAGTTATTAAGAGAAATACAATTGAGTCAAATTATGTAATTACTTTAACAAATAATTTTTAAGATAATACTCATAGAAATATTCTTCATAAAAAGTAATATCTTTTTATTCTTTATCAGTTGGTGAAATTTAATGTTATACAAAAGTTTATTTCAAAACCAAATAATGATATAAAAATATTGACAGAGTACATTAATTGATTTGATTCAAAATGAAGTTGAATTATCAACAGAAAATTTCAGGAACTAATGTTTGGTAATTTCGGATATTTGTTTGATGTACTACAGAATTAATAATCTTGTTAGCATTAGTAGGTGTATTTTATTTATTATAAGCTAAATTTAATCCATTTTATATATTTATTTTAGAAAAATGTTGCTTTTAAATTAAAACATTAATACAAAGAAATACTAAAGATTTATATACATAAACAGCATAATTAAATACATTTGCATATATATATATAAGGTCTGTCTTAGGTATAAATCAATTATTTATGAAAAAATAATTATATCAATTTTTATTTGGCAATGTTACCTATAACTCATTATTGTAAAATATTTAACACACTGGCAGATAATTTTATAAAAATTAATTTTTAATACACAATTGCACATATAAAAATAAGTTTATAATTCATTGATTAATATTAAAAACAATACAAATCTGTAGAAATTCAAAAAAAAATGTACTCTCATATCTAACATCTAGAAATCAATTGATATCGATTATTATTTTTCATTGCTGTAGCCATTCGTTTTCTGCTTGATCTGAATTCTAGATTGACTTGTTCATTATTATTTAAATATAGTTTGAAGGCCATTACTGTGAGCAATTAATATAATTTAGAAAACGCATTAAAAAATATATATATACTACTAGATGTAATGGTAAATGATTGCAATGTAATTGTCCATATTGGAGGCTAAATAGTCTGTCGCGTTATTAGAATATTAACTTGGAAGAACATTTTATGTTACATTATTTCTCAGTTTTGAAGTTTTAATAAAAATATAATAAGAATATTTTATATTAAAAATAATTTTCATTATTTTTTTTATATATATAATAATGTATTCTAATGAATAGCGATATTCTATATAACTTTTTGATATTCAATGGTTTTATCATCTATAACTATGAGTAAATTGTAGATATTAATAAGAAATTCTTAATATATGAGTTTTAATAAATTTTTTTAATTGTAAATTTCATAAAAGACCATTATAAAGATGTCATAGAATACGTGCTGAATGTATTAATAATATACAGAAATAATATTATATTTCATAACTCATATTCTGTTACTTTAATTTTTTTCATTGTTCATTTTCAATGAAATTTAAAAATTTTTAATTTATGACTATTTATTTTGTTATAATCTAATTGACTCATATTTGTGTTACTGTAAATACTTTTTTTAATACATTACTATTCTGACAGAATAAAATCTAAGGTATTTTAAATAATTATTAAAACGTAAAGTTAGTTATTGGTTATTAATAATAATTGAATTAAAATATTTGAAAATACCAAAATGTTCATGGTATAATATATTGATTATAAATGTAAACAATTATGTACTGATAACAAAAAGAAGCGTTTGATGAAAATTTAATTCTTGTACTTGCAGTGCTTTACATATTATTATTTCCTACTTAATTTTATTACACTATCAGGGAAGAAATTTCTTAATAAATTTACTCTAATTATTATTTAATATTTGCCTAACGAAAGGTTGATGGCTAAAAAAAAATTTGGTCTGATTTTTAATATTACATTTATTTTTAATGTGTGTGTGTCTGTGTGTGTGTTTGTGTGTGTGTTTGTTATTAAAATACAGTTTTTTTATTATAGAATTTTTAATACAACATTGGATTTCTATAATTCATATTTACAACAAAGAATGTTATATTATTATTATTATTTGTTAGGTGAACTAGTTGTTTTCAACACAAGCTATTTACGCTTGAACAATTCTACGACTCCGTGTCATCCTGATCTCGACAGTCTGTGGTTTATGAGCATCTTAAAATGATTCATTTATAAAATGAAACTGAAAAGTTACAATTTTCAGAATTGATTGTTTCAGATAGGTTTAAAATTAATAGTTTATCTCAGAATAAAGTTATGTAATGTTCAACTTATTATTTAAATTGTTATTATTAGATTCGTTTTTAGTGACTATTAGATATGAAGTTTTGGAAAATAGCAAAGAGTAAAATTTATGTGTATCGGAAGAATAATGTCCGATTGTAGTTAGGAATATGCTATCAGGTTTACTTACAAAATAGTTAAGGTTAGATTTTGTAAATTTCTAGAATCATTAGAAATTACTTAAATGTGAGAATAAATGAAAGGAACGCTGTACGTAAACATTGTATATAAAAAATTTATATAAAAATATATGAATTATAATTATAATTAAATTTTTTAATTCATTGAATATTTTTATGCAGAAAAATTGATAAAATAATAGATAAAATGATAAAATTGGATACGATTTTCTACAAACAAAATATGTTTATAATGCACAAGATTTTAATCAAAATAACTTCAGTATATTCAGCACTTGAAAAGTTTCCAGGGATAATACATAATCCAAAATATACTTGAATCGTCCAATCACATGAAACGTCGAGATTCTTTTGACAATTCTTAAAACTCGCATTTCCGTAATCTAGATTATTATCAAAAGCCGTTCGTATCAATGAGTATGGTGCCGAAAATAGTATTCTGTCTATTACTGAAAATTTCTCTTTGCAAATAAATGAAATAATATTATAAATCAGCTCTCTTTAAGTTAAAAACCAATATAAAATTAGGTCAATTTTTATTAGCAATATAAAAAAATCTATTAGACAAAAGTATATAATAGATCATTTAAATTTGTAAAGTTGTTTTATAAATTATTGTTATTGAAGCTGTTGATTGTTGTTGTTGATTGTTGTTATATAAGTTATTGAACTTGTAGATCGGTAACATCAATTTTTTTATTGAAATTCTTAAATTCCTTTGTTATGAATCCTTAATACTGATATGTCCTCAATAAGACATATGTAATTAATTATATCGATTGGTAACAAATTATTAGACGTATCTTCGACATCAATATATATTAATTGCTTAATTATAATTTATCAATATTTCATAAAAGAAATTATTCTAAAAGATATGATAGAAATTTATAAAAATTTGCAAAACTCGACAGTTAAGGTATAATTCAATATATAAATCTAAAAAAATTTAACAATTTCAAATCTTTATAAACAAAACATATAAATAATAGCTTTATAAGTATATAGAAAAGCTTAATTAACAAATTACGATTGTATTTATATAAACAATTTATATAAACAAGTTATAACAATAACCAAAGTAAAATACATCAGTATCGAAAAAATCTAATCTTAATTTTCATGTATCTACGGTATTATTTTAACTGCTTAAAAGACTAAATTTTGATATTTTAATCAAATTATGTTAGTTAATAAAGTACTAACGAAGTGTAGAAATTAGTTGTAATATTAATATAAAAATGAAAGTTTTCTTTTATAATCCACATTTTTATTTTATATGACAATATAATATATTATATCATTAAATATTATAAGAACAAGAATTAAGGACATATTTTTATTATTATGTCAAAAGTTTAATAACTGTTAGATTTATAATTTTGTATTTTCCACATATAAAGCAATATTCATTATTGTTCTATACAATAAAAATGAATGCTTCTTACATTGTACTTTTTAAATAAATACAAGCGTGTATTTTTTCATTCATAAAAATCAAATATTCATTATTTTGCATTATGTTATTAAAAACTAAAATTGTTTATATGCAATTATTGGATATGATGGTAGTCAGGTATATCAGAATTAACAGTTTATTTATTATGATTACGGTAACGGCGATGCTAGTAATGATTATTATCAAATATGTATCGAAATGAACAATTAAGAATAATTTTATAAGTAATTTATAATTTTATATAAATTATCTAGGACGGCTGAATTATCGGTACAATCGTGAGACACGTGATTTCGGGAATCGCCTATTATAAGTCGCGGGTAATTGCTGTCAGAGGACGGTGATCGAGGATATAATATTATATCGACGAGGTATAAATCAAGTCAACTGAGTAACTGAACTACACTGACACACATAATTGAGTTTTGAGATCAGAATATGCTTCAGCATTATTTTAACATGTCGAAAGTCCCAGCTTTTGAATTTCCATAAAATTAGATTAATTGTAGGTATAATTTTATGCAAATCCACAGGGATTATTTTTACAGAATAATGTTTGAGTTTACATAATTTTTTAAGTAATCGTGCGATTGAATATGTTATTTATTACAAATCATTACAGCGTTTAAATTTCTTAACACAAATGTAATCTATAATATTCAAAAAATGCATTATATACTTACATATTTTACGAGATATTTTAAACAATAGTTTAATGTTCTTCGAAGTTGAATTTATTTAAATAAAAGAATTTAAACAGAATCAATGCTATATGTATAATATGAATGAACTCGTTGTCATTTAGATTTTCAACATTTATTAAATTTCAAGGAAAAATTACAATTATATTTAAGAAATATTGTGAATAATTTTTTGTTTTATTTTATAGAGATATATTTTATAGATAAAGATCTTTAAATTATAAAAGTTTTTTACATAAAACTTACAAAATACCGTAATCAAGAATAAACCTACGTTTTACAATGTTCGATAAAACAACATAGTGAATGAATGTTGTTTAAAAAATTCAGTAGTAGATTATATTATTATTTACAAATATAAACACACACGCACACACACGCGCGCGTTCAGTAGTAGATTATATTATTATTTACAAATATAAACACACACACACACACGCGCGCGCACACACACGCGCGCGCACACACACACACACAAACAGACAATTACGTAGTATGAATAAATTTATTAATAATAATTATCAATAATTCATGATTAATCGAAAATTTGTTTATTGGAAATACGAATATACTACATTTTGAATATTTAAGTAAATAATAAGTCTGACATATTAATTAGACAAATATTGTATATTATGTGAATAATATTTCTATGCAGTAAATATTCAAAGATATAAATATTTATAAAATATGATGTATTAAAATTGTTCATTACCATTTATATTAATTTATATTGCCATTTTTGATAAATTCAATAAATTCGACAAATTGTGAATAAGTACACCGTCCTTCAATCATGAAGGAGATAATCGAATAAATAATAAAATGAAATGAATTATATTATTTGAAGTAGTTAATATGATTAATTGAAAATAATATGGAATTTATCAATGTTGTTGAAGATCCATGAAAAATATTATAATAAATGAAGAATATATAAAACTCGTATTCAAAGACATTAAATATTAATTTAGAATTTCCCTTGTAAATCAATAATAGTATTAATAAAAATTAATCCTAATATTTCTATAAAATTAAGTGTCTTAATATTCATTTATTTCAAATTAAAAAAATTTAATAGTTTCTTAATATCTTAGCCTTAAAATAGTACTTTGCATTATTTAATACTTCATATTAAAAATATAGTTTCTGAATAATCAATGATTTAAAACATTTTTAATGCTTTTCCGTAACTGTTTGGAAGATATTTTCAAGTATCATTGATAATGAAATATATACATCAAGATTAAATTCAAACTTATTGAAAATACTGCAAATATGTTCTATAATGGAAATAAAAATACAAATATAGTACTTAGTGCAGCATCTTAGCACAAAATACGAATTTAAGGAAACTCGTCTTGATCTCATAATTTTATAAAAATAACTTTGCTTCGCCAGTGTTACTTCTTTATATATCACTAACTCTGTCTTTCTTCTCTTCTTACTTTCTCCTGGAAATGTTGTTTTCCCAGAGCGCGTAGACCATCCAGGTTTTTGCTTAGACTCTACATCATTTCAAAGCTAAGGAGAAAAAGTAGCTTTGCAACGGCAAGGTACATATAAATTATTTATCAATCCATAGAGAAAGAAAAATCTGAACCGGAAGAAAAGTAAAAAAATGTCAAATGTTGTAATACAGTTAAGTATAAATTATACATCTTTAACATTCTATTTATATTTCCGTTCGCTTACTTTTGATTTATAATGGAACTTATGCTTTGTACAATTTCCACTGAATAATAGCATTATTTCATCTATTATTATTACATTTTATAAAATATGATTTATTGTGCTATATCAGTGTATATTAAATGACTCTTTGTGTAGTAAATATATATATATATATACTTGAAATCTCTTCTTTTAAAGAATAATTATTATTTTTGATATTTCTAATCATATTTATTTGATTGAATATTTTCTACGTTATCATTAATTTCTTTAGTTTATAATTTTTCAATGTATTTTTCAATGTATATAAATGTTTTTATCAAACTTACCTATCTACTGATATTGCCACCAAATTAAAAATTGAACTAGTACTACACATTACATCCATCGCTATGTAAAAATCACATACAACTCCCGGTAATGTCCATGTACCATAAACCTGAAAAATAGAATTAATAATTAATTATTTATTGATATAATAAGTGTCTTAAATTTAATAGACGTCAAAATTGTGTAACTATTATTTATTAACAAATAGATTAGATCGATCAATAATGTTAACATCATTTAAATATATAATAAATAATAAATTTTTACTGAAGAATATGCATATGATGAAAAACTATTATTACATGTAAATATTTAATACAATGGTATTTTAAATGCAATGTGGACATACAAGTTTTATTAAATATATTAGGTATTGCTTTACTTTAATAAAATTTGTAAAATTCTTCTAATTTCTTCAGCTTGATAAATATGCACTTAACATATCTTTGAATAATAAAACATTGCAAAATTTATTAATGCAAATATTTTTGTAGAAAATCTGAAATATTAATGCAGCGAGCATTATAATTTAGCAGTTACAGCTTGATTGTATTTGCTTTAAAAATGGATTTATAAAAATTTTTCCATGTACCAAGATTAATTAACGTTACAAATAAAAATTTATGTTAAGATTACTTCTTATATTATTAAATAGTTATATTTTGATATTTGAAAACATTGGAGAATAAAGTATTTACCTATTTTTTATGAATATAAAAAAAAATTAAAGTTGTTCGTAGAATAAATTAAAAAATTTAATACTGACTTATTCGTTTGTTTACATAAAATAAAATTTTTAATTTAGAAATTTTTTTGGTGATTTTCAACTTTTTTTTACTAAAACTCTGCATTCAATATGTTAGTTTCTATATGTTGGAATTTCAATGGAAAACTGAAAATAAGCAAATTACTGACAGTGTCACATAGAATTATTTCAAACAAAAATTTTTTCGTTTTTATTCTTTTTATTTTCCTACATTTTTAAAGTAAAGGAAATTCTTAAATTTTAAATCCTCGATATTAAATCTTTCTAATATGGATATTTATTAAATTAAAATTTATTTTAAAAAATAATGTTTAAATGCAAATACTGAAAATTACTATGTGAGAAAATAATATATAATTTTTGATAATTTCTTAATGTTTATACACTTAAGTATTAATAAATTCAGTATATTAAAAATAAAATACACGTTTCTATTATTATTTTGATAAATATTTACTAAATCAATCAATAATATTACAGTGAAATTTAATGAGTGGTTAACATCTTTTAATGTCATTATTAATTAACTATAGAGCTATATTAAAATCCAATTAATTCCATTTTAGAAGATTTAAAATTTAATATTCTATATTCTTTAACTAATAACGTTTCTAATTTACTTACATTATTTTTACTAAATTCTATATTGTCATTATCATTATGTTTTATATTATTCTTTATGTTCTTTAATAAGTTCTTTTGAGAATCGATACAATCAATAAATAGTATAGTTGTAATTCTTGAATATTTTGAATTTCAAATTATAACAGATTGAAAATATGCATTTTTAAATTCTCTTATGTTTATTATCCGAAGTTGATATGCATGTCTATGATATTTTTTAGCTATTTGTAATTCATTTTAATATATTCATGTTAATATCAAGATTTATTTATAGAATTCTCATAGAATTACCTTTTACTAAAATATAAACATATTTTTAAAAATATTTAATTCGCAAATTCGTCTGTTATTTAAGCACATAAAATTAGCGTGTTTATTATGGGTCTCGTTAATTTTCGATAATTTCGAAATATTAGGAACAATGTTATTTTCATTCTGAATATCCTAAGTAGTAAAATGCTATATATTGCGGTTATCTTGATCACAGGTGCGTATTTCCTCAAAGGACAAGGCAATACACCAACAAAGTTGAAGTCAATGAATCAAAGCACTACTGGCTGTCGTTAGCCGACGTGCCGTATACTTTTTCCAAACGCCGCAGTTGTGACTCAGTTCCCAAGAATAAAAGAAAGCCATGATTAATTGCCTTGGCTGATTTATAGAGTGACTAAAACTTTTACGTTCGAGCCCTTTGTTTTCTAATGGTCCATGATTATTAGCTGAATTTTTTTTTTACTTTTACGTATAACGAGTTTTGAATCTTACAAAATTAATAATCTATCATTTGCCAATCATTTAAAAGCTTCGGAAGTTGTTAAATTATTTTATCTCTATTTCATTCTTAAATATTAAGAATTATTAGTAATGGCTAAACGGAGAATGTATACTAACATAAATCATAATTATATTTTTTACATATCAAATTTTACATATTTTAATTTAAATATTTTTAAATTAAGGTGAATTTTTTAAAGCGCATGGAATATATGGATTTCGATAAGTAATTTTTAATAATATCTAAAAAAAATATATAAATATGTATTGAACTAATTTCTGAAAAATAAAATCACTTAGAGTATTAATAGTAATAATTTGATAAATTGATAAATTCTGAGACGACTACATGATGCTTCAATTCCTGTTTACTTAATTTTACAGAATGATGAACATAGAAGAAGATAATCAGAGCTAATGAACAATGTTGATTTATAATAATAAAAAATCCATTAAGAAAGTTTTAGGAGAAATTATTTAGCAGATTTGCAAATAAATTTTTCATAAATAGAAATATTATTAATAGTATTATGTACATTGTTTGTTGTTCTAATGTTTGATAATTAATACACGATTATACTATTTATAAGCCTATTTAGATATTGTATTTCAAGGTTTATTTATATTTTTTCTATTCTAAATAAATTTAACGAAATAATTGTTAATTTCTAAGATTAAAAGACCATAAACGTTGAATAAATAAATTTCAAAGTTTTTCAAATTCGTAAGATGTACTTTGGTATATCTGAGATATTTTGAGATTATTAACTTATTCAGAAATTAGATATACTAGGAAAATTCTTGAAAAAAATGTAGCAAATAATTCCCATCAATTCATTCTAAACATAAAAATGAGATCCATAGTTTCTTCCAGTCTTACCTTATTCTTGTTCAGTCTTCCATTGACTGGGAGTAAATATTTGTTATTATCTGTCCCATTCTATCCCTCCTCGCTCTCTTTTCTCTTAAATTTTTATTTTATGCCCATATTTTTCTTTATAATATTATTCATTATAACTTCTATCATATTATTGTCTACTCTTATTTATTTATTATACATTTATAAAATATATAGGATCTATACTAGTATCAATCATGAAATATTAACTAGCGTACTTTGATTATACTAATTTAATAGATTAAAGCAATTAATTTTTGTATATAATTCCTTATATTAAACAATGTTTTTGTGTTAGCTCTAATAGTAATGTTTTTATTATTAATGAAAGACATGTATAAATATTATATTGGATAATAATTTTTAGAAAATTTTATTTATATTTATTGTAAGTTAAAAATTGATAGATTGTCATTTAAATTATTCTATGCATTCGTATAAGTGAATTCATACTAAATACTTTAGTAGAATTTTATATAATATCAGTCTTCATATAATTTATATAAACATTATACAATTTTCTATAATGATGTTAATATTCTATACCATAATTTCTATAATAGCAAATCTGAAAAAATTATAAAAATTAGAGCAAACAATAAGTAATGCATTTATTGTTTATTTTAATAGAGGACAATTAATTATATTTAATTGGACAGAATATACTATTATTTCATCTATACTTAAATTCAGTACAATAGGTATATAAACATTTTAGTATTTGATATTTTAATTACTGAATCCTATATTACAGTAAAAATAGCTCAATTGTTCAGAGTTTCAGTTGGTAAATTTTTTATATATAAAATTTTTAAATATACATTGCTAGTTAGTTCTTTATTCGAAATGAATGAATTATGTAATGTCTTTCAAATCTCATTAAAAAAATTATATATGTATAAAATGCACTATATTATATATATATATATATATATATATATATATATATATATATATATATATATATATATATTTAGACAATCTAATTTTATATTGTTCTAGGATGGTTATTCTTCTTCCATTTGTACAGATTCTTATTCATAAAATTACCACTTTTTATTTTTATTTTGAATAAATATTTTAAAAATATTGCCGTTATATATAAGAATAGAAATGAGAAATTTTACTTTTTATGAGCTACTACTCAATTATATTTCATACTTTCTATTAAAATTTGCACATTGTAATTTCATACACTTTCTATTTATGAAAATGCTTATTTTTCCAAACACTTTTACTATACGTTATAATAATTAAATAAAATGTTCAATTACTTTAATTTTATTTGGCACAAGTATTTTATTCAATTTTAATATTAAGGAACATAAAATGATAAAATAAATAAATACATTTCGTTCTCTTATTTTTCATCTATTGCCAAGATATTAATAGAAAAAAAATGAAAAATATTGAGTTTTTATTAATCAATTGGATATACTTGAAATACTTAAATTTCATCTTCATAATGTCAAGAAAATTTTCTAACGATGATATATTATTGGCTAAAACTTAAATGAATTCGATCGGCCTCCCAATTTTGTTGTCTGATAATTGAATTTCCACACACGCACACAGACATACACACATATATAAATATTAAGTATTTATTTGAATTACGATTGAACTTTATATTATGTTATATACTTCAATATTAATATGAAGTGAAACCTTAAAATAAAAAAACTATTTAAAACTAAAGTTTCAATGACTCGTATGACTACTTATAATTGTTAGCTTTAGTACTATAAGTGTAAAAGTCAAACTTAACTTATATTAGTCTACCCTCCTTATAATTTTAAATACTATTTACACACAGTAGTGTATGGCAAAGTATTTTAAAAAACTATCAGAAAACTAAAATATACTTAGCTATTTTTCGCCTGGATGTGTTTCTCGAATAATAATAATCATTTAATTTATAATTTATTTTCCAGTAAAATGGTATAAAATATCTTTTATATAAGTAAACTATATTACACTTTAAATTATTTCGTTTCATTTCATTATTTACAAATTGAAATGTTAAATAATGTTATTATGTTAAATG